GCTACATGCCTGTGCAGAACTCATATTTGTAAGATTGAGGCAGGAAAGAGAAAAGGGGGTTGCTTTTGTGAAATGCCCTCTTTTCTTCCATGAAGGACCATTTGTAGTTTGATAGGTTAAATAAAGCATGAACAGCAGTGACGGATCCATGGTGGCAAAGTAACTGAGTAATTCCAGGAAAAGCATTATCAGCCTTGACTAAAATGTGTCCAGTTTGTACTCCTTTGATCACAATGAAATAATCCTGTTCTGGATCTAGCCAGCTTCCATGACAGCAAACCAAAAAGACTGAAGATAGATGCATTTGCTTCTCGGTACTCACTGTGAAGCTTTGATAGTCTTATTTTTATATATAACATGAAGGATGTATTTGTGTTTTAAATTTCAAGCCTCCCGTCCCTGGATCCATTGCATATCTACAATTTGATTATGAGCCCACTGGAGATGCAGTTTTCTGAAAGCTTAATCTCTACACTGTGTCAATTCTCTTTCTATTTCTTTTGCTGTATGTGTTGCACCCCCGCCACCTTGCTCTTAGCACCAACCAAGATTCCAAAAGTCTGTTTATTGAAGAAAATTACATATAAACGTGGGAAATCACCAAAAAGAATAAGAAAGGCAGAATCCAACAGGTAATCAGAAAGGTAGTCAATAAGTAAAAAGCCCACCAAGCTGGTGAGGAGTAAAACACTTCAAAGGCAATAATCCAAAAGGGACAGGAAAACAAGAGTCATAACATGAGCACAAATCCAAGGAAACAAGATTGCACCCAGAAAAACAAGAATCAAAACATGAGCATAAATCCAAAACCCAAGCTATAAGAACTTCTTAAAATATAAATCAAAACTCCTAAGAACTTAGACTAAAAACATGAACTGGAAACAGGACTTGAGATCCTCGCTATTTTGCAGCGTTGCCTGATCTGAATTCTCAAAGAGACTCTCTCTAATTTAAGGGCCACAAAACATGGTCATTTCTTTGACCTTGGCTTTCAGGCTTGTGAGACTTTCTCTGCTCGTCCTCCTCACAGAGCCTTTTTGATTTCCTGACCTTGATGTTTTTCTCCCAAAGATCAAGCCTGAATTGCCTGTCCCTCTCATGCGAGCGATCTCAGACTTCCAGGCCTTTATCAGAAGTTGCTAAGCTGCTTGTAGGCGAAAAGTCATCTCCACCATTCACTGTATCTCCCTGTCTGCTTGACTCCAAAACAGTTTAACTTTCAAGCCCCATCTCACAGACAGAATCTTGATCTAAAATCCCCTTTATTTCCCTCATTGAAAGAACCATCCACCGCTCTCCCACGCTTTCCATGCTCAGGCATCCCAATCCCCTCATCTTCATCTGTCTGAACCACAACAGTAGGTCTGTATCATCCCCACCGTGGAACCATCAAAAGCACAAACAGAAGAGTAATAGATGGAAAAAAAAATGCAGAGATGGTTATTTTCCTTCTCTTATCAAAGGAGTGAAAATTAGACTAATTTTAGAGTAAATGCTCTTGAATAGGTTTGGAAGAGGGATACATACCCCACAAACATTTTATTGATGAAAAAGTGAGATGACAACCAGGACTGTCCATGCCAAGTCAGGAAATCGTTAGAGGATATGAGAGAGATTTTTCCTTCAGTGACTCATTTTGATTAATGAATATTCTTTCTGGATAAACTGGCAACTCTCCTAATTTCATGTTATGCAAGTACTCCTTGAAAATATTTTTATTTAGGAAGGCTCCTACTTCTCCGGGATCTGTATCATCAGTTCCAGTAGTTGCTTAGTTCCATCTCCAATTGTTAAATGCCTACTTTTTTATTCACCAGCACGAGGTGGGAGGAAAAGAGGGAAACTCGCATTGTTAAAGGACCTAATAAAGTTGGATAATAGAGGATTGTTTGAGTCTTTCTCTGCCACATTGGGACCATCAGAGGTTATGGAGACATGGCTGGGCCTGGCACACATATGGGTAAAATGTCATTCAAGTAAGGAAGAGACGAGAAGGCTGGGGCCAGAGTAAAGAAGGGGAGCTGGGAAGACTGTTTCATTTTATATCCTGTGACATCAGAGCCCCTCCTCCAGCAAAAATATAATATTATATAATACTAATATTATGAATGATGTATTAGTGCTATGCTAATAATGTAGTATGTTGTATGTACATATGACTTGTATGCCAATCTGAGTCCCCTTCGAGGTGAGAAGAGCGGCATATAAATGTTGTAAATAAATAAATAAATAAATAGAACAAAAATCCCCATTTTTCGTTTACTCTCTGTGACATTTAAACTGGTCCAGAATCTCCATAACAGGAATGGGCAGTTGTGGCCTTCCAGATACTTTTGGTCTGTCACTTCTATCTGGCATTGGAAGCATAGCTAGTTGTGAGGAATTAGTGGAAGTCACAGTCCAAAACATCAACAAATTGAAAATATCCATTAAAAATATCCATAGGACCACAGTTGCCCATTTCTGGAATGAAAGCAGCATTTTAAAGTTTTGGTGTTAGGCATTGTTTTGGGGCACTTCCACATCAGTCCAAAAATACCAATATATCTTTGGATGGCATTGGTGAGAGAGATGTTGGAGGAAAACAGTGAATGGAGAAAGGAATCAGTGGTGTTTGGGCAACCTGCAACCTTTTTCCTGAAAAAGAACTTGTGGAGGGTCTCTTCCATCTAAGAATTGTCTAAAACCTGCTTTAGATCAGAGGTGGGCAACTGGTGATCCTCCAAATGTTGTTGCGCTTCTATCATCAGCAGATAATATGGTTATTTGTATGACTTGTAATGACCTGGATAGTTAAAAGACAGGGGACCACTTTCTGAATTTCAATAACAAATCATCCAGTCCAGTGATCAACTGGTGAAAGGGGTTCATATGAACAATGCAGTCTTGTAACAAGATCAGAAAATTAAACAAAAGGCCATTCCACTAATATTTCATGATGGAAGACTTAGCAAGATGATCAGCAGTTTTGAAAGGCTTTTGGCGTGTGGAAGCTGTAAAAATCCTCCAGAATGAAATCTTGAGAGGCCTGGCATAGTTCAGTAAAAATTAAATCTATTCCGAGACTAGATTTCTCCTCTTCCTTTTTTACACATAACTCTTTCCTGAACTGCTGTTACCATGACTGACAATGCTTGAGGAATTTAGTGATTTTGGATGTTTGTTGACTGGATTGTCAGCTATCATATTGATTCTGCAGATCAGAACTTAGACATCTATTAAGTTTTTTATTTGTCTGAATTTTTGTAGCCCTGTTATACTCTCATTTTAAAATATATTTTAAAATATCAGTTTTAGGTTAAAATATTTAGAAATACATACATTTACATACTGTATGTTTAGAAATAATGCTTTTGCAAGCGAATGCATTCAAAATACAGTAACATCCATATTGGGGAGGGGAAAAAAAAGGCCTATTAATGTTGAAAAATGACAGAAAGGGGTTTTTAAATGAATAAACATAAAACTGACCTGGTCTAGAAATGCATTTGATTTAATCCCCCCACCCCTAACCTTAATAATGACTCATAGGATTGGAGTGAGCTTTAGACAACAGTCGGAAAGCTAGGAAGTTAGCACTTAGTTTTTCAGAAATGCAAATTTTGTTTTATCTTAATGAAATCCTTAAATCTAAGTATTGATTGCCAGGAGGCACTTCTAAAGTATACAACTTCATACTGGTGGAAATGGCAATGGCAACTTATCAATGAGAGTGGGTAGAGTTGATATTGCATTACAAGCACACACTTGTTCAACAGCCTATCAACCATATGGTGCCAATGTTCTTCCTCTGTTCTGGAGGTGAAACTGATTTTACTACATTGACGATAAAATAATTATGAGTTAAAACAAAACAGACCACTGTAATAATATTAACATTCCATGACTGCTTGGGCCCATGATTTTGTAATCAACTTCATCACAGAGCTAATCCATAAAGTGTTAGCTTTCCCAGAATGCTCTCCATGTAGCAGAACATTCTAAAGACAGATAGTGCCAGAATTAGGAATACGCATATCTTTTAAAATTACTACTCCCAGCATGTTTGAGCAAACATAGCTCTGCTGGTTCTGGGACTCTGGGAGACTAATTGTAAACCTGAATTTCTCTCCAGTTCTGTTAGAGACTAAATGTGTGAGAGAAAATAAGACAGAATGTGAATGTGTGTCAGAGACAGAAGATCTGGTTATACATGCATGGAGTGCCTTCAGACAGCACCCAAAATGCGTTGCCTCTTGCGTTTTTCCCTGATGTGTCCAGATAATGCCTCAGGTAAAAACAAATTCCTTCTAGACAAAGCAGAAAAGCCCTCCTTTGTCACGAAGTAATGTGACAGCTGGGAAGACCTGGATTGGGCTGGGGGATTGAGTCACACGCCTTCCAGTGCCCATCCACACCTGTATTGGGTTTCTTGGGCTCCTGGAGGCCGACAAACCAAAGACAGCCTGCTCCCAAAACCCCTGTAAAAAGCTTTTACAAAAGAAAATAACTTACCTGGCCTCCATTACTGTGCTGCTGGAGCTCTCCTGGCGCATAGAAATGATGCACCAGGAGAAGGCCGGGGGGGGGGGAGGGAGGAAAATAGCTACCCACTTCTCCTGGAACGTCGTTTCTACATGCCAGGAGAGCTCCAGAGAAGGGGGAATGGCAGCCAGGTAAGTTATTTTTTTTTCCTAAAGACTTTTCTGTGTTTTTTTGTTTTGTGTCCAGCAGGGAACCTCGATACCCATTTCCTGGAAAGTGCAAATGTTAGGGGGAGGTGTGTGGACTTCAACTCGGATCCAATCAGGTTTAAGAAACTTGATTGGGTACGGGTTAAAGCCCTGTGTGGAACCGCCCATAGTTCCACCTTTGTTCAACAGGGCAGAAAGCATTTATGTATGTATAGGAATTTATAGGATCCGTGAGTGTGATTGAGTAGGGGTTTAAATGTTCTTCAGTCTAGTTTGAAGTGGATAGCTTTGTGCATGAATCAATTTGTTTATTAATTTTTCTAACAGAGACCTGACGATGAGGCTGTTGTGGATCTGGGAGGCACCAGCAATGTGGTCAATATTCATTATGAACCAGAAGAACTGGAAGGTGAGTAAATACAATTTCTTCTTGTCCCCATCCACCCCAGAGTTCTTTCCCTTGTACCATTTTTGTGGTAGGCCCTCAGTAATTGTGAATGTGCTTTCACTTTGAGCAGGGTCCAAATTTGGTAGAAGGCATTCTATATGTATCAAAACCAAAATCTACAGTATTTTGTGCAAAAGAAATAAAATAAAAGAATCCCACAAATATCCAAGTTCTTTGGGTTGTTGTAGGTTTTTTTCTGGCTATATGGCCATGTTCTAGAGGCATTCTCGCCTGATGTTTCGCCTGCATCTATGGCAAGCATCCTTAAAGGTAGTGAGGTCTGTTGGAACTAGGAAAAAGCCTTCGACAATACATCCATGTTCTTTGTCCAAAAAATGCAATTTTTGCTTTTAGGATTTGGAGATCTCTGATTTTTAATAATAGTTCTTCAAGTTGATGTTTTAGTTCACGTACAGTGTGGTCTCCTGTGTTGGTATCTGTCCCCTTTGAAACAAACTAGAAATGGAGGTTAATTTTTGTGATATGGTGCTTTTAAAGCTGAGAGGACAGTGGGTAGATCACCAGGATGCTTTTGGACTACAGTGTCTTTAGTCATACCCAACATATGTGTTTGTAATTTCAGGCTTAAAAACCTTTTGGAGAGTCATACATTTCCCAACACTCTTTAGGAGTGTTATATTTCTAAAAGATGGACTTGAACGATAGTTATGTACTGTTATCAAATGTAAACCCACACTGAACATTATTTACACATTTCCACAAAGCAGGCTGGAGTTTCCGTGAAACCAGAAGTATCATATTTTCAGCCGCAGTTCATACTATGTGAACAAGACCTGCTTTTTAAACACATAAAATCAGTCTTTGCCCGGTTGTGGAATCCCGTAGGGAAGACATGTTAAAATATCTTTGTAATAAACAGCAACAGGAAAATATCTCCAAGGTTGAAGGACACTTGTGCATCCTATACAGGATTCTCGAACATAGAGGGTGAAGATGATACCATCTGCTCAAGGAGTTGCTGCTGCTAGAGCAACTGTTCTGAGTCTGTACAACATATATCCAGAGTATTCCCTTAGGTACAGTTACGTATCCATTGCCGGCTCTGAGTGAGAGGCTGAGAAACAGGAAACAAATTGCTCATTGTGTGAGAAGAGGCCGAGCCTTTGTATTATAGTCAAAGGGTCTGATGTGCTACGTTTTGTATACAGAATCACAGACATGTATTAAAACCCATACAATTCCAACAGGATACAGCAGAGTGCGGCTAAAGTAAAGGTAAAGGTTTCCCCTTGACATTAAGTCGTGCTCAACTCTGGGGGGTGGTGTTCATCTCCATTTCTAAGCTGAAGAACCGGCGTTGTTCGTAGACACCTCCAAGTTCATGTGGCCAGCATGACTGCATAGAGTGCTGTTACTTTCCCACCAAGGTGGTACCTATAGATCTATTCACATTTGCATGTTTTTGAAGCTAGGGCTGACAGCGGGAGCTCACCCTACTCCCTGGATTCAAACTGCCGACCTTTTGGTCAGCAAGTCCAGCAACTCAGAGGTTTAACCTGCTGTGCCACCAGGGGCTAGTGGGTTAGAATCCAAAAAAGGCAGGTCAAGAAGATATACTCTGTGGATAGACCCTGTGGTGAAATACAGTTTTCAAGGATACAACGTAAGTAGACTTGACGTAAAGATGAAATTAATACTCAAACTTTTCCCTTCACAATGGGAAAAGAGTGTCAATAGATTGAAACACCATGTCGAGAAAAGAGACATTGCGCACTTTTTTTGTGTGGTCATTTTGAGACTGTTTTTGGAGGAAAAAAAATAGTGAAGAATATGTATTTTCCAGATAACACATTGTCCGCTGTCGAAAGCTTTCATGGCCGGAACACTGGGACATTCTGAGTTTTCCGGGCTGTATGGCAATGTTCCAGAAGATTCTCTCCTGACATTTTGCCCACATCTATGGCAGACATCCTCAGAAGTTGTGACCTCACAACCTCTGAAGTGGTCTGCCATAGATGTGGGTGAAACGTCAGGAGAGAATGCTTCTGGAACATGGCCATACAGCCCAGAAAACTCATAGCAACCCAGATTCTTCAGTGGTATGAAAGGCCCCATCACCACAAACACTAGAGCTCTGTAAAATAGCATCAATTCTCAGATGCAAAAGTGTGTTTTAACTTGTATTGTGTGACAGTTTGTGCATTTCCCACTGTGAGCAGCAAATATTTATCCTCTGAGTGCCACCTGCTGCTGCTTCCGATTGCAAATGTGTTTCTGAATAAAACCATTCCTTAGCACAAACTGTTCCATCTTTTTATGTACACGTGATGCAGATGAACAAGGCTCTCATGGAGCTCCTTTATGGCAAAAAGCCTAGGGGACACACAGATACACTCTTAGGGTGCATGTACACTGTAGAATTCAACCAATTTGACATCACTATAACTGCCACGGCATCTAAATAATTTGGTAATCATAAACGTGGGAGAGCAACTATTTGGGGAATTTCAGTACATACGCAAATCTCATCTTAATACTTATCTGGAGGAAATGTTGGCTCTTACTTTTTCTGTTCCTTGAAAAACCCGGGAGAGCAATGTCTAGCAAAGTGATCTAAAAGGTGGAAGACTCAAGGGAATACAGGAAGAACCCCCCCCCCCCCAGATTTTTCAGTCTCTAGAAGAAAAATATTCTTAGAGAAATACAGAAAGATGCATACAGAAATTGATATAATAAATAAATAAAGCTAGTATATACTTTGTCTCCCCTCAACATAAATAAAGCGGCAAGACCCATTAATAATACAAATATATCATAGCAGGATTATTATTATATCTTGATCCAGCCTTCCAAAAAGATAACTCACAGTTATTCCTGCATCTGCTTTGTGGTTTCATTTATCTCACATGGCTCTTCTCATAGGAGTAGATAACACACACTCCCACTCACACACACAGAGCGAATGTCGTTAGCATATAGAAGCAATCTGATATCATCCAAATTGATTTCTATTCCAGGGAGTTTATAAATTCAAGCTATCTGGATGATTGCCTTTGCAACCTCTTAACACTGCTCAACTAATTTGTTGAAAAATTCAAATTTATGTATTTCCCGCTTTCTTCCTGTGATGAAGAGAGTGTTTTATGGGAGTGTACTGGACTGATATTGAAGAAAAATAATAGAGAGTTCCAAGACTTATGAATCTCTCTCTAGAGATGGGGAAGGTATATGGCTTTATAGCTTTCCAGATGTTGTGGGATTCCAACTTACATTGCAGGACTATTAGTGAGATCAATGACCTTACACATTCATCAGAGTCTGAAGGGCCGGTTATACCCTGTCTCCTTCCTTCCTAAAGGAAGGGTAATGCCATGTTTTTAACTTTGTTTTGTGGTTTTTCTATACATTATAACTGTATTCTCAATTCACTTCTGACACGATAAATACATAAATAAATAAATATCCTGCTCCTTGGTCCTGAACAAAGACAAAAACCCATTTCCAGTATTTCAGTTTTGTATATATACAATCTAAAACTTGCAATTTGACATTTAAAATTGAAAGAGTTGGAAAGGAAATTGGATCCAAAAGAATGTGTCAGCAGTGATTTTGAGTCAGAATTCCAATTCCTGAATTTACTGAATTCCAGATTCACAGATTTATGTATTATATTTGTCTCCTGAAATCTGGATCTAGTGCTTAATCTTGTCTTCTGCTATCATCCTAAACAAACCTAAGTGAGAGTAAACCCCATTGGATACAGTAATACATTTTTCTGGATAGATATGCAGAGAATTGGGCTATCAGCTGTTTATTTAAAATGGCAGACTTGTACTTCAGTTACAGAAAGACCCTAGAAGTGGCTTAGAACACTAATCTTCCCGACAGGATTTCAAAATCGGTGGTGCTTTTTATGCTTCTAATTTCTCTCAAATCCCATGCAAAGCTAGCAGGGAGTCATTTCATATAAATAATTCCTTTTAATAGCAGAGGGAAGTCATTCTCAAGAGGAAGCCGAATCTTAACACAAAGGCAAAGGGGGGGAAAAAATCTTTGTGGCACTTTCCCCGGTCCTTACGTTTCAGTCTCTTTATTCTCTTTTTGGGTCCTGTCTGGCACAATGTGTTTAAATTAGTAATAAAGTCCAGAGCAACAAAATGTCACTAAATCTTCCCTGCTTCTCAGTCTTTAGACAAATGAAGGTCAATGACAAAACAACTTGAGAAGTTAGGCACTTTGTCTTCAGTATTCAGGTTCAGTCTTAGAATAAATGCAAAGGGGGAAGTCTCTGAGAAAGAAATGAGTGTATTTTTCTTATCCCTAAGAGAGTGCTGCTCCATAGAGATTGATAGAGGAGCCTTTGCCCTCTAAAATCTTGCATAAGCACCATACACACCTCAGACCTCAGGGGATGCCACACATTAGTTCGCATAATCTCTTCACAATACCCTGGGCAGACACATGGAACATACAATGGGCTCAAGAAAGAACCACCAGGTCTTTTGCTGTTTTTCCTAAACTGATCTGATTTTATTCATGGGAAGATTTCCTCATATCTTTTCCTAGATAAGATACCCCCCCCCCCCCGAGTCTCGACTAAATTTGCAAACACGCTGACCACCCTTTTGTCTATCTGGCTGTCAGGCATTGTATTGACCAAAACAGAAACTATTTAAACTCATCAGCGCTAGCCCAACTGTATTCCTTTCCGCTCGCACCCTTCTCCTTGGTGGATCAATAAACAGACAAGCCTTCAACTATACCAATGACATTTTATTAAATTTCCCTCCAAACCCAGAGATCCATTGGTAACAATGACAGACAGTGCATCCCAGCCAACCAGCCTGCAGATTCTAGCTGCCACAATCTGGGCCAATTGACACTCAGGGCAGCAGAAGTCCTTTGTTTCAAACTGCTGTCAAGGTCTTATAAATATTTCTGCATGTTCAGATTGAGATATGCCAGTGTTTGGAGCACAGACTCCACTTTCATCTACATTGGCCAAGGTGAAGAAATGCCTCTGTTTTTGTCTTCATCCCGTCTGTGACTCATTCGGTCCTTTGGCAGCTTGACACTCTGGGCCCTGAACCTGCGATTCTAGCAGATTTGAAATCACTCAACAAAGCAGAGGCCTCGTCTGTTTAAGATCGGGAAATAATGTTTTCCAGATCAGAAGATTTACATGCTGGCTTCCTCCTCCTGTTATTCTTCATTTTCTAGAAAATAAATACTGTGTTTCTGTATGTGTTGGGAAGAATGGAGGCAAAGTTGACAGTTCGAAGCCAGGTCAGAGTGAGCTCCTTCAGCCCAACTCCCTGCCCACTTAGTGCATCGGAAACTGCAATGTGAGTAGATGAATAGGAACCACCTTAAGCAAGGAGGTATTTTAGGCATAGCATTTCGATCAGAAAAAGGAGGAAAGTTTATGAACAAAGAAAGCTTTTTGGCTAGGAGATGGAGTGACAGCACCCCCCTGTGGCTGGAACCGAGCACAGCCTCCAAAGCTGGCGAAAAAATGGGGAAAAGCCTATATATATACCTCTATCTGTTGTTTGTCTTGTCATTGTATAATTGGTATTGAATATTTGACATATATGTGTTCGGGGTGAGAAGGGCGGAATATAAATACTGTAAATAAAGTTCTGAAGTTTAAATATGCAAACTGGAAGAGCAACGGGCAGGAAGATCTTCCTAAACTGTCTTGTACACTAATCATATGCATTCTTATTTGGAAGTTAAGTATTCTCAGATCCTGATAATACTTGGATGGGGAACTGCCAAAAAATAGCAGGTACTGTAGGTTGTATTCAGAGGAAACCAATGGCACAACTACCTTTGATTATTCCTTGCCTACGGAAACTCTATTAAATTCGTGGTGTTGCCATACTTTGACAGGCAGCTTGAAGGCACATACATATGCATACTATGTATTTCCATCAAGTTGAGATTGTGACAGTTGCTGAAGTGTAAAGTTTGCATTTCTTCCTGAAATGTATTTTTCTATAATTGTCTGAATACCTTTTGTCTGCTTTGCATTGGACAAACATTTTGGTGAGACTTTGTATTCAAGATACTGTACTGTGAGGTAGTATGCATTGGACTGTAGCCTTCTTCCTTTGGTGGGAAACCAAAGGAACATCCTTCAGATGTTTTAAATTACAATTCTAGTAGATTACCATTTACTATTAGATTACCATTACTGTGATTTTTTGATAGAGTTCATTATCAAAAGTTTGCCTTGTCTTTTTAAAAGAAAAAAGAAAAAAAGAAATCCTTCCTTTTGCCTAATGAGCTCCTTCTGGATGTGTTCCTGTTAAAAACACTAAAATGAGATATTTCACCAGGATTAAAGAGTCTTATTCCCCTAGATGGGTGCTATAATCTTCTTGTTGCTTTCTGCTGTCCAGCCAAGTGATCTGGAGCAGGATCCTTTTCCTCCCATTTTGAATGGAGTAGCCTGCAGAAGAATATATGGCACAAAGTGATTTTTAGGGTACCCAAGTATTGTACTGTTTAGATTAAAATGTTAAAAAACCAACATCTTGGAACTGGATCAGAAATAAAGTAGCAACCAATGTGTACAGGATAAAGCACACAGGGGACAATGAAGTTCGGATTCTTCTTCTTTAAGTTTGCAGAAGAACTTTGAGCAAAAGCTAAGAAGAGAAAGGTTCTATATGAGGTTTTTAATGGAACAGTGTTGACAGACCTATCGTTGGAAAATAATGCCAAAGGCTGAGATGGTTCCAGAACAAAAACTTGAGAACCAAGCCCAGCATTGTTCATATGTCTATGCTCTACCATTAAGAAAACAGTAGGCAGGAGAGGGACTGAACTTCCCCCTTTTGCAACTTTATTCCCTCACAGTTCCTGCTTTGTGCTAAGACCCCTTCTACACTGCCTATAATTCAAATTATCAAAACAGATAATCCACATTATCTGCTTTGAATTGGATTATGTGAGTATACATTGCCATATAATCCATTTCAAAGCGGATAATTGGGATTTTATATGGCAGTTTAGAAGGGGGCTAATTTTTATTCCTTTCTCTCTTACTAGGAGTAAAGAGAGTTCTGGCTGGAACAGTGGCTTGAAGATGCATGCAAATGTGTATGCGTAGTAGGCCAAAAGTGTGTCTCTTGCTTTATAATTGAAAAAATGGGATGTGTGTGTGTATACACTGATACGTTGATTTAATATATGAGCAAATTGGATATATAGACAGTAGGCCAAAAGTGTGTATCTTGCTTTTTATAGGAAACATGGAATCAAAGAGTTGGAAGAGAATCATAGAATCAAAGAGTTGGAAGAGACCTCATGGGCCATCCAGTCCAACCCCCTGCCAAGAAGCAGGAATAATAGATATAGGTGTATGAATAAATTGGATATATAGATAGAAACAATAATGAAGGTGTCTACTTTGGTCCTACTTTCTTCCAAGAAATGTTGAAAGACCATTCTGAGTTCCCAACGGTCAAACATAACCTCATATCGAAGAATGGTCATGGTTGGAGTTTGCATACTCTTGGAAGCTATGATGGAGAATTATGCCCAAAGCTGAACTAAACTGCTGTGATGCTAGCAATGCAAAGCATAAATATTTTTACTGTGTTTTTTTCCCATCGTAGGACACAGAACTCTGTATGTTGGGGTGCGGATGCCTTTGGTGAGACAAGCTCACAGACATCACAGAACTCATGGCCAGAAACATCGAAAGCGAGATCGGGTGAAGGAAAGTGTTCAAGAAGATCAGGAGTCCCATGGTAAATGTGAAAGGGTTGTTCCTCCACAAAGGGAACATGCTGGGGTTGTAATAACGGGTCAGCCCATGGCTCGTGGTTGTTCTCGCTTAAGCCTCAGGCAGAGATGGTCTCCACATGCTGACTTAGGAGCCTTGAATGTTTTGTTATTAAAAATCAAAGAGTGATTCTCTCAAAGGTTTGGGATGACTAAAGAGAGCCACAGAGCCTGACCTGTGGGATAAGCAGGATATTGTCAGGCTGCACAGGACAATCAGTGCTTGATGTCACAAATACAGGATGAGAGCATCCCCTGTGTAGCCTCTTCCTGAAAAAACTGTACTAAGGAAGAGCCTTCCATTCCTCTAGATAAGTGGTTTTCAACCTGTAGGCCCCCAGTTGTTTTTGGCCTACAACTCCCAGAAATCCCAGCCAGTTTACCAGCTGTTAGGATTTCTGGAAGTTGAAGGCCAAAAACATCTGGGGACCCCAGGATGTGAACCACTGTTCTAGATATTTGGTTTCATTGTTACTATTCTTTTTTTCTTCATGTTCCACTAAATGTACCATCCTGTGGCTTGAGTCCGTTGGATCTAGTCCTGCCATCAAGGCCGTTAAGCTGTTGTCTTCTGTGAGACAGTCTTCTTGTATTTTGAAAGCGCCATCGTGTCATCTTGGCCTTCATTCTGCCATGGCCAGTTCTCCCAACCTTTGCAGTTACAGCTGTGTCTTCCTCTAGGCTATTCTCCTCCGAGCCTATTCAGGTTTCTCTACATCCTTCTTGAAGTGCGACACCCAAAACTGAGCACAGTACAGCAGATGAGATCTCACTAGCTTGGAATAATGTAGAACTATAACTTCTTGTGAAAATATGATGGCATTAAAATCAGCATAAAACAACATCAAGTGATTGTCCGGTTGTTGAGTGTAGCTCTGAGACCCATGGCACAAATATGGCTATCAATTATCATATTTTTAGTCTCAGTTTTGGCACAATAGCCTGTTATTTGTAGCTAAACCTGAAATACCTAACTGTAGGCAGAGTGGTGGGAATAATATATATGTATGTTGTTTCTGTTCTTTTGTGTTTACAAGCTAAACAGTTCTTGCTTGATACTATAATGGAGTGCTTTAAGCTGAAGAGCCATGAGTAGAAAAAGTAAATGCCTTTTAGGGCTTTTGTAGCACATAACCTTGCAGTAAGGAAGTAGCAACATCTGTGCTCCTTTAATGCAACTGTTTTAAAAATCCTTTTTATTTTTAATTTTATGTTTTAATTTTTGGATTGATATCGCCGGTTTTATTTCTTTTCCATTATTAAACTTTTGTATGCCTTAGCGATTGCTGCATTTTTTATTTATTTTAATTTGTAAGTCTCCTTGAGCCAAAGCTTTTGGGAAAAGGCACAATATAAATACCCTAATGCTATAGGACTGGGAACAAAACCAGAACTTGTACTATACTCATGTGCTACTGCCTTTCCAGTAAGAAAATGTGAAATGAATGTTGCCAAGAGACAGAATTGAGGATGATTGTGGTACATGTTACCCTGGGTTGTTATGAGATCTTTCAAGGACTTCAGCTCCTCCATTTTTGATTCCCTGTGGTCTGAAAAAGTTATAATGGGAAATACAGGGATATTTTGTCTCCCCATAAACCTCTTCTGGTCCTAAAACAGTCCAGAAATAGCCCAAAACATGGTGAATTTGTGTCCATGTCAGGAGGGATTTGCAGGCAAAATATATTTAATTTTTTTTTTACAGGGATGGGGTTGTGCATGCAGACCTTCAAAATCCCTGGGAACCTTGTGACCTCCTTATTAATTGCTCACCTCTGCTTTTAGGACTTTTTACTTGAACATTTTTAGAGGCATGTTCTCTGGATGATATGTCAGACATATTGATTTAATCAAGCAGAGACATTCAAGTCAGCTAGAGACAATGGTAATCTTGTGTTTGGCCCAAACAATGTAATTGGGGTTAACAGAAGTGGGACACAATCCAGATGCAGTGTGACTCCTGAAAAAAGGGAAGATAAGTGCAGCAAGTTACCATCTTTGCGAATACTTCAATTATCTGTGTTCACATAATAACAGTTCCCACGTTGTTGCTGTTGTTGCTGCATTATAATAATGAACAGTTGTTTCTGAAACAAAAAAAATCCCTTGTCTAAAAATGTCAGTTCTTCTCCCTTTCCAGCCTTTCCAGGACATTTCAAAAAGCAATTTGATAAGTTCTGATTTTTTCTGCTTCGCCCATGTCTGTCTGTCTAATGCTCTTTTTTGTTAGATACTCCATCTCAGCGAGTTCAGTTTATCCTTGGCATGGAGGAGGATGAGGAGCATGTCCCCCATGACTTGTTCACGGAGATGGATGAAATCTGTGTGAAAGAGGGTGAGGAATCAGAGTGGAAGGAAACAGCAAGGTAAAACAAAGGACAGTTATTGTTCACTACCTTCCTATGCACTCAGTTCAGCTCCATAGACTAACCCAAAAACAGAATGCAAGCACAGAGACAAAAACCCTAGGAGAAAGAGGTAACTTCCTTGCTACTGTGACAGCAGAAACCTGATTGGCCAGACTGCTTGCTGAATGCTAATACTAATATCAATGCTAATATTGATACTGGGCGGATCAATATGCTGGGCTGATGAATACTACATTAACATCTGCCAGAAGTATGGAGAATTGCCGTAGTAACATTTCTATGCATGTATAGTATAAAAATCAGAAGGAGGAGGATCACAAACTTCTGATTCTGTTCTGGAAAGATTTTTGCAGATAGAGACTCTGTCTGGAATTCTTCCCTATCATTCCAGATATTGTAGTTTCACCAGTAACATAATCTGGTGGGTGCTTCTGATTCTGAATATTTCTCAATGTTGTTGACTATTCTGACCATGACCAAATATTCGCGAATGCCATTGCACTGTGTCAATCTAGAGGTGTTCCCTACATTAAGAAAAGTTTCCAGACTTGCATCAGTACTTTGTGGAGTCCATTCAAATTAAGTTTTTGGAATGACCAAAGCAACGTCCTATTGCACTGCAGCCAGTCTCCATTTTAAGTGGATCACAGAGGCATTTCTGGTTCAGAGGTGCATTTAATGCACTTACAAACCATTCAAAATGCATGAGTAAATAAATATATCCTCAGCAGGAACATATCTTTTGCCAAGCTGACACATAGCAAGTTGCAATGGGTTCATGGGGGCCTTGCTTAGTTGCTTGATGATGCCATCTCCTGGTGAAAGAAATGTTGTCTCTTCTATCACTTTCATTTTTTAAAAAACTGTAAAGACCTAAAGATTGAGAAGAAATTAATCACTGTCAAGGCTATATTTCTCTGCCTGTAATAATGAAAAAAAATATAATTTTATTCTTTTCCTTACGTGCGAGGTCTTGTCCATTGGTGAGTGGTGCAGTTTGCAAATATTCTTCACATTCCCACTCAAAAATTGGTCACCAATAAAAAACTTCATACTGCAAGAAAACCTGAAATGGTTAATAGATATAAGGTAAAAAAACCAAAACCAAATGTTCTCAAGAATGTCTACAAGAAGGAGCTAGCCAATTTGGCGCTAGTGACAATATGAACAAAGAAAGATAGATATACCTGAAGTGAAGAAGATTAGAAGTCAAAATATATACACTACGCCGCCCAATTTACCATTTCCCCCTCTATCTACCCAAGCTTAACCATTACCCCACCCTACCTCTTGATTTTACCTTCCTTATCTAATAATATAATAACCAGTGACTGGTTATTGTTGTTAATTGATTAGTCTGTCATTGTGTTAATTGTTTTTAAATATCTTGCTGTTGTTGGCATTGAATTTTTGCTGCTACTGTTGTTAACCGCTGTGAGTCCCTAAGGGCTGAGAACAGCGGTATACAAATAAAGTAAATAAATAAATAATGAATAAATAAATAATAAATTTTATTTGTACCCCGCACCATCTCCCCAGTGAGGACTCGGTGCGGCTTACATGAGGCCAAGCTCAAAACAACAATTACATAAAATAAAACAAAACTGAAAACTCAAATAATAAACAATAATAACGCAATTACATAAAACAAAAGACAACATAGCAATATAAAATTACAATAAACACAGTCACAATAACATGGGCAAGCTACATGTAATGGATAAAAGAAAACTGGTTAAAAACAGATTAAAAACTCAGGCAAGATAAACAAAGACAGATTATTTGCGGAGGAGAGCTCATTTTAGTGGAGGTCGTGGAGCAAAGCTTTCCTATAGGGGGGAATGCACTCCAATAACAGAAACCGTTGAAGCTAAGCACTAGTATGAGGATGTAAATCTATCTACCTCTACTATCATAATTTCCTACTTTCCTATACCACAAATATGTTTCCCCTCTTTTTATTACGTTTTGAAAACTTTAATAAAAACGTTTTTTAAATATTGGTGATCCTGAGGAAATTCTGCCCTACTTAAATGCTGTCAGTGTTCCCTTACTTTCATCTGAGAAATAAAATCCAGAGAAACAGTGGGGCATTTTTTATTAATATGAATCCTCAGCACTATTAATGTATTTGGAAATATTCTGGAAAAGTATGCCTTGATGGAAAAGTATGCTAGAACATTTGATGTAGGTTCATTTCAGTGTGGCATTCTTTGCAGGTGGCTGAAGTTTGAAGAAGATGTGGAGCATGGTGGAGAGCGTTGGAGCAAACCCTACGTGGCCACTCTCTCATTGCATAGCCTTTTTGAGCTGAGGAGCTGTATCATCAATGGGATCGTCCTTCTGGATATGTGTGCAAACACCACAGAAGACATTGCAGGTACCAGTTCTTGATAGTTGATTGTCATGACTCTTGCCAGCATAGCAGGCATTATGTTGGCAATTTCTTCCTGGGTGTTGGTCTTCAAATCTTGTATGGGTTTTTTTGAAATCCCGTGATTATGTGAACTGTCCAAGGACCCTACTCAGTGTATGGAGAATGGGGGACGTCACCTACCTAATATGATCTTCAAAACTACATAAAACAAAACTTTAGGTATGCGCCTACATTGTATATATATATTAAAAATTCTGATTCATACAATGGGTTTTATTAAGTTTTGAAAAAAGGAAGTTATGCTGCTGCGCCCTGTATGTACATGTGAAATGAATAGGTCAAGTAAGCCTTTCATAAGTCAACAAAACATGAATCTTTTAGAGACCATATGAAAGTTTCTTCCAGAATAGCTTCTTGGTGAATGTTTCAACAACCTCGACTTTTTGATGGCAAAACTTATAGATGTATGATTTATTCAATATGGCTTGTTAGGTGGCAAGGCAGAATAATTCAATTTTCCGTTTTCTTTCCATTTTGCTCTTCAGACATGCTCAATAAGTGATTCTGGAGGCAGCTATTTACTTTCATTGTTTTGTACAAGTACAAACAGCTCAAGTATGCTCATCCTTCCAAGGCCAAGTTTTATTGCATGGTGCACTGCAAAGCCACTCTATGACTCAACTCTGAAAGTCTGTCTTTCTCTAGCTCTCCTTTACCATCTTTTAATGCCAATGCTGCAAAAACAAACAAAAAAGCCATACACACAGAAGAAAAAGAAAAAAAGCCAGACATCCTTTTAGCTAGACAGGTTGGTCTTCTGCGAAAAGATTTAGCAAGAAGAAGCTTCTTTCATAGAATCCTAGAGTTGGAAGATACTTTGTGGGCCATCCTGTCCAACCCCCTGCCAAGAACCAGGAAAATCACATTCAAAGCACCCCTGACAGATGGCCATCCTACCTCTGTTTAAAAGCCTCCCAAGAAGGAGCCTCCACCATAGTCCCAGGCAGAGAGTTCCACTGCTGAACAGCTTGCACCTCAGCTTTGTTAACTGAGGTCATTCTAATTTTAGTAGAAACGAGATGTTGATTCTTTTAAAGCAAATGTTTTGAAAATATTTATTGGAGGTTATTTTAATTGCTTTAGAAGCTGGCTGTCACTTTTCTCAGTCTTAAGAGGCTTGCTTGTTACAAGGATCATCGAGGTATTGATGGACCCTTAGCAATGTGGAAATCAGTGATTTAGGTTGATGCAATACAAGCTAGTTAGACTTTAGGAAAATCAAGAAGCAGATAATTGTCCTGCATTGTTAATTTGGTAGCATTTGGTCCTTTGCAGCTAGCAATTTGCCTTGGTCTGCGACATAGACTGGCATCTTATCACACAGAAAGAAATTTGAAATGGACCATTCATTTCTACAGATAGTTGCTCTTTTATTTGAATAATAGGATGCTTTGGCAGAGATAAAGAGAGTTTCATTTCCCCCCTTCCAAGAAAGTAGCTTTGCAGAAATAGGTTTTTGATTGGCAAGATCCCATTTAAGGGTTTTGCTATCTCATGATGTCAGCTTCTTAGCACATTTCCTTTCCGCAACAGTTGCCAACAGTAGTCAATTAGGCAAGGTATTCCAGTGAAGCATTGTGTTGCTGATTGCTTATAATTTTATTAAATTTGCAGAGAAATAAAAGCGACTCAAATTGCGGAAGTGAATGGCATTATCTAAAATGGAGTGGCAGATGCATTATTTAGGCAATGATTTAGTATTTCAGTAAAGTGTATTAACGGGAAGAAAACTCTCTGTTTGGAATCATAGTGGCCCAAATCATTGCCTCAGCAGCATTCTTTTACAACACAAACCTCTTCTGGTGCTGATATATATTAGGCTTTCTAATTCTAATTCTCTTAAAAGATAGCATCAGGATTTAAAACAGTGGTTCCCAACCTTTTTTTTTTTTTTTTTACCAGGGACCACTTTGACCAGGGACCACTCTCCAGCCTTAGTATCAAAAGAGATACGAATCAGCTTTTGGTCAACTTTAGATTTGGTTTGGTTATTTGGGGTGCTGATTCAGAAAACTGCATTGAATAGACCACATCAGCTCTAGTTTCTGATATATAACATACGTGCCATCTAGTAGTCACCATCTGCTCATCCACAGAAAGCCATATTTCATAATCTAGACCTGATGTGGTCTATCCAGTGCAGTTTTCTGAATCAGCACCCCAAATAACCCCAGGAACAGGTCTAAAAACAAAGACAACAAAGTGCCCCCACTTCCAGGCGCCACATGGAATGACTCCACTCAGAGGGAGGAGGAGGAGAAGCAGCAGTCAGGAGCATTGTTGTTACACCTTTCATGGATAGTCAGTCTCTCCCCTCCCCACTTCCCCAATGCCTTGGCACTATAAGAGGGTTTCATGAGACCATTCGCTCTCGTTGCAACGGTGTAGTAACAGTACGGACCATATTTTACTTCTTTTTTATATATAAGTAATCTTTATTGAGTTTTACAAGATTAATTTTAGTTCTTGAGGACCACTGGTGGTCCACGGACCACAGGTTGGAAAGCACTGATTTAAAGCATGCAGAGATAGATTCAGCACCTTGGATAGCTCATTCATAGTCTAAAATTGCTTGACTGGAGCAGACTCACAATCCAACTGACATGGAAGTCACAAACCTGCATTGCAGTTATGTTGTGGCTAGTTAAGGGAATTCAGGTTATTTACTCCCAGCTCTCAGTTAAGTTTGGCTTTACTACTCCCTACGGTTTAACCTTCAGAAAGAGCATTTCTCCATGTTGACCTTAATGATAACTTTGATAAGTTAACTTTTTGGACCACAACTCCCAGAACCCCCGTGCTGGTTACATGTTCAAAGAAATGTAATGCAAAACGGGTTTCAGTCTCCAGAAGAAGCCCTCAATAACTTATCCAAGGATGCAGTCTTTCAAACAGGATCTATCCCCTTCCTGTGTTAATAGTTAGGATATCAACAAGTGGAGGAGAGAAGTTTAAATCTTTTGTCCTTTGTCACAGCTCGTTCCTCTGAGTCTGCTATTTGTGCTGTTTATTCATTCAGTCGCTTCTGACTCTTCGTGACTTCCTGGACCATGTTTACTTAGTATAATCCTCAAAGTTTCAGTTGGAGATGGTGTTTCATTTGTATTGTGTCTGAGTAACTCAACTGTTCACCCTTGCAGATATGATTCTAGATCAACAAGAAACTTCATCTGAGTTTGATGAAGCCACTCGTAAAAAGGTCTGGGATATTCTCCTGAAAAAGCATCATCATCAAAACGAGAAGAAGAAGAACAGCATCCTCCCTATTGTCCGCTCTTTTGCTGATGTTGCCCAGAAAAGAGCTGAACCTCAGCCACCGGAAAAGACAGGTAAGAATCTTGGGATGTTGTTTCTTGTAAACTTGTAAATAATTTAGCATTAGTTCAAAATCCTCTGGCTATCTCTAGCTATGGGGTAAGGACATCTTGATTGCAAGCAAAACCTATAGAGACATCTTACCAAGCCCTTCATCCTATTATGTGATGGGAGCTTCCCACTTCAAGCATGCACAGAGAATCTGATGCTCCAAACACCATCTGTAGAGCTCCTTTTCATAGCCAGGAGAGGTGTGTTAAAATTGTGATGCATTGTAAAATCTGGAACCCCAAGCAGAAAAACTGTGTGAACAAATCAAAAGTTATAGATGAGGTTGCACACATTGAATTTCTCCTTTTTTCGTGTACCTGGTGGAAAACCTGGAACATTTGGTTAAACCTGGAGCAGAAATGGTGCTATTACCACCCTATCATTGCTACCATCCCCATTTCCCCATGTCCTTGCTACTTGTATAGATGTAAATTGAGTTTACTTTTTGACTTACATTATTTTGTATTGTTATACGGCATTGAATGTTTGCCTTTTTATTTGTTGTAAGCTGCCCTGAATCCCCATCTTGGTCTCTCCACGACTGTCCCTCTTCTCAAACACTCTGTGTTTCATTTGGAAAAATGCTGCATTCGAAGAGCTGAGACAGTGTTGTATTTCAGAGTCAATGCTGACTTTTGTGGAGAGGTGGCTGCCAAAGTAGTGGAAATGGTCAACATTTTCTAATGTTACACCATTAAGCTGTATTTCTGGCATTGCAGAAATTGGCTTATGATTAGAATAAAGGAAGAACAGATACTTATGAATTTTTTTTATGAGACCTCCCCTTCCCCATATACAGATAATATTTCAGAACTGATATCATTCTTGTATACTTAGCTGTGCAGCTGAAAGCCAAAACTGTTGTATGTACATGTGTTTAACTTTGTGTATATAAAATAGGTTCTCCACTTTCATGGGGTTGGGGTGGTGAATTGCCATGAAAAGAAGAAAACTATTTTTGTTTTAGATAAGATGCCACCTCTCTAGAAATCTCTTGGTCATCCAGCATGACATATGGTTAACTCATGGTGCATCTACACTGCAGAATTAATGCAGTTTGACACCATGGTTCAATGTTACAGAATCCTGGTATTTGCAGTTTTATGAGGCACCAGCATTATTTGGCGGAGATGGCTAAAGACCTTGTAAAATTACAACTCCCATAATAGCATAATATTGAGACATGGCAATTAAAGTGGTATCAAACTGCATTCATTCTATAGTGTATATGTACTTATAGTTAGCCACCAGTTACAGAAAATCTTGCAAACCGGAAGATTGGCAGTTCAAGCAAAGCCATGGGTGAGGTGAGCTCCCAACGTCAGCCCAGCTTCTGCTTACCTAGCAGTTTGAAAACAGTAATATGAGTAGATAAATAGGTACCTGTGTGGGGTGGAGGTAAAAGGCACCCTGAAGATATGCTTGAATTTGATCAGGAAAAGGCGTCCATGGGCAACAGGCTCCTCGGCATGGAAAAACACCGAAATGATAAAGAGGGGAAGCCTTACCTCCATCTATGTCTTTGTTAATTGTATAAAGGCATTGAATGTTTGCTGTATATGTGTTCTGAGTCCCCTCGGGAAGATAGAGCGGAATATAAATAAAGTATATTATATTAACCAAATCTGCAAATAATCAAATCTGCAAAACATTAAACCTGCAAAAGCTGGGGAGAGGGAGGGGCAGGCAGTGCATATGTATGTGAGAAACACCACAAGAGATATGGGGTTATGTTAAAAACGACTATTTGTGTTTCTTTCATCCAAGATTCTGTGTTGTTTTCACCTCAGGGATGAACTTACTGACTCTCCCGCCTCCTTCAGCTTCACCTTCCACCTCTTCAGATGTGAGAAATGGATTGACACATGAGACTACTCCAACTGACTTGAGCAAAGTAATGGTTAACTTATTCATTTCTGCATCATATTCTTCTTGGACACATTAAAATTAATAACACATACAAATTTAAGTTCAAAATGGAAACAAAAAAGCTTAATTAAAAGTAGAAGATAGTGTTTCTTTTTGTGCCTGCAATTCACATTGTTTCATGAAGGTTATATTATTCTTTTGATCAACAAAACTGTTGATGTGACTGCAAAGTGACCCATGTGACTGCAAAGTATTTTCCAACACAGCATATACCGATTGGAGTAGAACATTGGGTCTCTTTCTCATCTTTAAGGTCCAATTCCTTGCAGATAAGATAAAAAAGGGCAAAAAAAAAATTGCACCAGAGAGAAAGAAGGTCATTTTGAAAGTATCCTGAAAAGGGTAAAATAAAACATTGCAGTATTAGTTTAGTTAGAATAGTAAACTAGTTAATAGCTGAAAGTTTTGGTATTCTTGAAAGGAATCTTAATCCAGCAGTCAGCAAACCTAGATTTTGGAAATACATTGTACAAAGAACCGGTTGGATTTCGTTAGATGCAAAACAGTGAAGTGTTCACATCTGGACATGTTGCATGTAGTGTATGGACTGAGAAATTGTTTTGGTGATATTATTGTGTAGAATTTGGATTACAGGTCTTCAAAATGACTGTAAATGTATGTTAGGAATTACACAAGTGCCAGGGAGAATTGGACAAAAGAAGATGCTCAGGATGTGGTTGCCACTGTAGTAAGGAGAGACAGGGAGCGAACAAGATGCATCACCTAAAAGTACTCTTAGACAAAAAAGAGTCAGATACACAGATCTGTGATGCTCTCCAGCTCCATTTTATTTCAACCTATCTATTCTCAGAGCCCAAAGACCAAGCTTCCCTACTACCTCCACCTATGCCTCCCTTTCAGAAGTAATTAGAAATTAATGCAATTTGCAATCCATGCTAAGTTAACTACACTTCCATAAATCAATGTGAAACTGAATTGCAGATTATCTCAATTATGTCAGTGGGAATTAACTATCTGGATACACATAATTATGTATAATTATTGACTTACAGTACAAATTTACACACATCTAATCAGAAATATGTCCCACTCTTTCTGGAATTTGTATAGATGACATCTATGGGGAGATAATCTCAGACAATGGACAAATGTGTTGGTATCCACAATCCCACACAGGGACCTTGGGAAAGTCATTGTTCTCCTGGGACGCATCTACAATGTAGAATTAATGCTTACTGATATGGTTTTACCTGCCACAGCTCAATGCTATGATATCCTGGGAGTTGCAATTTTACAAGATCTTGATCTTCACTAAGGAAGACATGAAAAACAAGCTCATGGGCTGGGTTAGAGGATAATTGCTGTTGGTCCATTAATACCAATAGGCCTCTACAGGCACCTACGGACTCATCTTCAAGACCCTACACTTGGAAGGCAATCATACTTGGCCATGAGTGATCATGATGATGATGATGATGATCATTAATACCAAGCATAATGCTGAACATCAATTTGCTATGGGTAGTTGTGGCAGAAACGGATCTCTGTACAATGTCTTATTGCATATATATATATATATATATATATATATATATATATATGGTAGAATTTAGTAGAAGAAGGGTCTAGAGCAATAGTTCTCAACCTGTGGGTCCCCAGGTGCGTTGGTCTACAATTCCCAGAAATCCAAGCCAGTTCACCAGCTGTTAGGATTTCTGGGAGTTGAAGGCCAAAACATCTGGGGACCAGCAGGTTGAGAATCACTTGTCTTAAGAAAACTATGAAAACAGGATGTGTATTTTCTGTGGAACAAAATAATAAGCTCTCTTCCATTTAAGTCCATACATAGAAATTATGCTTTTTGGGGTTTTTTTTGTTTTTGTTTTTAATTAGGCAGAACTCCATTTTATGAAAAAGATCCCCGTTGGAGCTGAAGCCTCAAACGTGTTAGTAGGAGAAGTAGATTTTCTCACTCGACCCCTTGTTGCCTTTGTGCGTTTATCACCAGCTGTACTTCTTCCGGGCATGACTGAAGTCCCACTCCCTACCAGGTAAGTGTTGCTGATGATGATAGTAGTGGTATGAACTAGGCCATAGCTCCTTAAACCTTGCAAATGCTGATTTGTTATCAGTAAATGTTTATTTTTATACCTAATTTATATACCTATATCCCTGGGGTCACAAGTGGAAGCGTTTAAGAAGCCCTGAACTAGACAACAACAACAAGAACGTGTAATTATTATTGTTGATAATAAAAGTTATTTTGGGCAACTGTACTATTTCTCCACTACAGCTTCAATGCATCTCTAAATCAACTGAAAATCTGCTGACAGTTGTATTTGGTGAGATTGTTAAATAGGACACTGTAGAGTGCGTTTGTAAATAACAGACAGCTGTTAAACCGATTTGTAGTGTCTGTATAATATCATTAAAGCAGACTGTAAGTCCTTAATTGTAGTTGTGCTGGACAGCATGGAGAACTCCACTGGAATTCTCCAGTGGCTCTTGAGAACTAGAAGAGGGTGATTTTGATTAATGAGACATACTGAGAGAAATAGGAGGAGAAGTGAGATGTCTTTATGCCATTACTTAGAAATTAACTATAATATCTATAGGGGTGTTGTGGGAGTTCCAGGCTGCATGGCCGTGTTCTACCAGCGTTTTCTCCTGACATTTCACCTCCATCTGTGTTTGGCATATTCAGAGGATCTCTGAAGATGCCAGTCACAGATGCAGGTGAAACATCAGGAGAAAATGATGCTAAAACACAGCCATACAGCCTGGAACTCCCACAACACCCCAGTGATTCCGGCTGTGAAAGCCTTCAACAATACATATAATATCGATAGTTTGAATACACTGTTGGTTTGATACTGCAATAGAATTTCACAAATGTTATGCATTCTTTCTAGAAACACCAACAGTAATCACACACTGGGACATTATACCTACTAAATCATAGTAGTTCCTGGCTAGTTGTGTTGTATTACTCTTAGAGTAGTGACCTGTTATCTTTTGAGCTGATGTTAGTCACAAGTTTACGCCTCTCCCATTCTCGCCAAAACTGATCAGCTAGTAGTGGTTGTGATGATTATGAAAGCCCTCTCAGTGAGAAGAATAACAACCCATGGACCTGTGAAAGTTTACAAAGGGCACTGTGTAGTGTCAGCAGGAGAACTCTTTGCAGTTCTTTAATCTAAAAGTGCCTTGTTTTGTTGTTTGTTATATGCTGTTGATGTTCCAGCTGTTTCTATTAAATAGGAAAACATTTTGAGTCACTAAGTAGATTTTTTTGTTCATTTGCAGGGTTTAGGGGCAGTTGTTATGTTCAGGATTATAACACTCAAGTGCTTGCTTGAGGAACCAAATGAACCCTTGGACAAACTTTTCCATATGTATAAAGGGCCTGTGCTAACAGTAATTTAGAAGTCAGTTTTGTTTTCTTACCATATACACTTTCTGTTGTATTGAAACTACATTTAGTTAGCATTCTCTACTTGTGGTCACCGTGAAACAGTTAATTCAGGTCCAACCCAATATTCTGGAATACCCTCCCAAAAGAGAGTAGATTAGCCCCTACCCTTGAATCCTTCCGTTCTAGCCGAAAAACATGGATTTTTAAACAGGCCTTTGGCTGAAATGGGCCTATATTAGGTTGACACTTTGGTACTTTAGTTGTGTATTGATGAAAAGTGTTTTTGAATTGTGTATTTTATTTAATTTTATGTGTTCATAGTAGTTGTTTATAACTTTTATGTGATATTGTTTTGTACTCATGTACTGTTGATGTTTATATTGTACTTGCATCGCCTTGTTAGCCGCCCCGAGTCCCTTTTTGGGAAAGGGAAGTAGGATATGAATAAAGTTTATTATTATTATTATTATTATTATTATTATTATTATTATTAAATCCTGAATGATGATGAATGCAAGGTTGGGGTGAAAATTGCTGGAAGAAACATTAACAACCTTAGATATGCAGATGACACCACTTTGATGGCTGAAAGCGAGGAGGAGCTGAGAAACCTTCTAATCAAGGTGAAAGAGGAAAGCGCAAAAGCTGGGTTGCAGTTAAACATTTTAAAAAAAACAGATTATGGCAACAAGAATGATTGACAACTGGGAAACAGAGGGAGAAAACGTGGAGGCAGTGACAGACTTCGTATTTCTAGGTGCAAAGATTACTACAGATTCAGACTGGAGCCAGGAAATCAGGAGACGCTTACTTCTTGGGAGGAGAACAATGTCCAATTTCAGTAAAATAGTGAAGAGTAGAGACATCACACTGGCAATGAAGATCCGCATAGTTAAAGCAATGGCGTTCCCCATAGTCACCTACGGATGCGAGAGCTGGACGTTAGGGAAGGCTGAGCAAAGGAAGATAGATGCTTTTGAACTGTGGTGTTGGAGGAATGTTCTGAGAGTGCCTTGCACAGGGAAAAGATCCAACCAGTCCATACTTCAGGAAACAAATCCCGACTGCTCATTGGAGGGAAGAATAGTAGAGGCAAAGATGAAGTACTTCATGAGAAGACAGGAAAGCTTAGAAAATACAATTATGCTGGGGAAAATGGAAGGAAAAAGAGGAGCCGACCAAGGGCAAGATGGATGGATGGTATCCTTGAAGTGACTGGATTGACCTTGAAGGAGCTGGGGGTGGTGACGGCTGATAGGAAGCTCTGGCATGGGCTGGTCCATGAAGTCACGAAGAGTCGGAAATGACTGAATGAATGAACAATAACAACAAATATCAAGGTTCAAAAATGTGTATGACAATAATTTATATATGTTCATTTGAAACACCTTTGTACAAGTATCCTGGAAACAGGACCTTAGATGATTATGCACAACATTATTTATGTACCTACACATATATGAACAACAAGGATAAGGATGTCCAACACATCCAAACACACAGACTGGAGGTGAATTTATATGCATACATACGGCCACATTATTTTCTTATTGGTGAAATGGCTGCTGTACAAAATATGGAGCTGTCTAACTTTTACTCTGGGGAACTGCCCCAAATCAATAATGCAGTATACCTCAGGCTACTCAGAGGGTAGATTAGAATGGTCCTTCTCTTTTTTTCTTACTCTTATGCTGTTCTTGTTGAAACAGCTGTTTTCGTACAGCAGTCCTCAAAACTGATGACAGCCAAAGTCAACATGCAGGTTTGAATCTTATATTTTCTTGCAGTATGTGTGAGACGCTACAAATCTCAATTTCTTTAAAAGACACCTGTCTGTTAGAGTTTGTTATAGTATCTGGCAGATTCGTAGTTAATTGTAAAGTCAGGAGTGATTAAGGAGAACCTAAGTTCTGAGTAAATCACAAAGTAACTAATGAATGGAATCTGTAAGCAATAAAGAATTCGCTGCAGGTGTAATGCAGTAGATGATTGGTTAGGCCTGTAAACTGTCTTGAGTCACCTGCAGGCTGAGAAAGATGGTATACAAATACAGTAAATAAATAAATAAATAAATAGGAACATAAATTAAGCGAACAACGACATCATGTTAGCTTCTCCATGATGGAGGTTTTGGGCATTCCAAGAATAGTGAACTGTTTGGGACTTCCCTATAGAAGAGACTTCAGTGTGTGATTTGATTCCATGAACCAGTGGATCAAATACTGCTTTATAACTGAAAATATAGTGAAAGAGAATACTCCAAGTAGAAGGAAGAGGAGAAACTATCTATATATATCTATATCTATATTGGATTAAGGTAAAGGTAAAGGTTTCCCCTTGACATCAAGTCTAGTTGAGTCTGACTCTGGGAATGGTACTTATCTCCATTTCTAAGCCGAAGAGCTGGCGTTGTCTGTAGACACCTCCAAGGTCATGTGGCCGGCATGACTACATGGAGCACCGTTACCTTTCTGCCGAAGTGGTACCTATTGATTTACTCACATTAGCATGTTTTTGAACTGCTAGATTGGCAGAAGCTGGGGCTAACAGCGGTAGCTCATCTAGCTCCCCGGATTCAAACCGCTGACCTTTCAGTCAGAAAGTTCAGCAACTCAGTGGTTTTACCCGCTGTGCCATTGGGGACTCCATAATTTGGATTACGGAACTGTAAAGAGATAAAAAGCCTTTTTGGTTGGAATAAAAATAAAGTCTGCTGTTTGTTTAATGTTTATACTTCAGAGTTACTAGAATTATAAGCACGCACTTCTGCTGTGTAGCCTGAAGTTTGATAAAGTGTTTTAAGGATAGAAAATTATCCAACAGCGTCCAAATGTTGTACCCATTGTACAATAAAAGCTCTCTCTCACACAGTCTTCTTTTCTGTGTCTAGGTTCTTCTTTCTCCTACTTGGTCCAATAGGGAAAGGAAAGCAATACCATGAGATTGGGAGATCCATGGCTACTCTCATGACTGATGAGGTATGGTAAAATACTGAAGGTTATTTCCGTTCTTTAAGTTGTGTGCATTACAGAGATCTACAGGTAATCCCCACATCCAGCTATTCCTGAGACTTAAGCCATGCTAGAGAAATTTTAGAAAACATGTGTCAAACTCAAGGCCTGCCATGTTATTTTATGTGGCCCTCCAGATGTTTGACTACAACTCCCATATTCCTCATCATTAGACTAGAAGTGAGGGGAATTGTGATACAGTTCATGCCTCTGGGAGGCTCGAAGGCTACTCTGTTTAGTCAGGAGAGTGGAGCTTGAATGTAGATACCAGGCTTGTGGTTATGATGCCTGAGGGTGCTTCCAGACAGAGAACTTGATGTCCACTTCATTGTACCCTTCACATTTCTCCACCTGAGGAAGACGTTAGACAGGTCTAACGAAACCGGTCTGGAAATCCTCTTACAAGGGACTGAAAACTCCACTCAAGAGTATCTTTAGAGAAAGTAAGGGATCTTATGCCCTTAAGAGAAGTCTGCTTTACAGCAAGAAAGACTCTACTTTTGTTACTGATATAAAATCACTGTTAAACAACAGTTTTTTGTTCATTGTATATTGCTCAGTTCTGTATTATTTAAGTTGGTTATACGTTTAATATTGTATTATATAAGCTGAAAAAAAACATTCACCTTTGTGATGTATGTACTACGACTTGTGGATTTGTGTTTGTTCTGATTTTGGGAATCCATTGTCTTTTGTGTTAATTGCAACCATGAAGCAAACCCATGACAGGGTTTTTGTGGGGCAAGATTTACTCAGAGGGAGGCTGAGAGAGTGCAACTTGCCCAAGGTTTCCATCTGCACCTTGGCCTCCAGAGTCCTAGTGCAACATTCAAACCTCTTCACCAAACTGTCTGTCTGCCTTCTTCATGTAGACAGTCCCAAAACATTGACAACTTTCTAAGGGCCCTTCCACACAGCAACATAACCCAGGATATCAGGGCAGAAAATCCCACAATATGTGCTTTGAACTAGGTTATCTGAGTTCACACTGCCATATGTTCCAGTTCAAAGCAGACAATCTGGGATATTATTGAGCTGTGTGGAAGGGCCTAAGAAAATATAGTATTTATTTATTTACCGTATATTCCGGGCTATTACACGACTTTTGAAACCTTAAAAACCCTTTCAAAAGTTGGGGGTCGTCTTGTCTTCCGGATATAAATTGAAGGGGCCTAGAAGGACCCTAAATAAGAAAGTAATACACAAACCAGGCTATTGCGGAGGGCCGAGAAGTTCACTCCATGCTGGAAAAGTAATGGTACAGTCCTTGGTATTTCAATCCAGCACCCACAGCAAGTAACTCAACTATTTCTGTGCTGGGTTTAAGCAATAACACAAACTCTTTAGTTTGAATCCGGGGGAGGGGGAGAAAACGGCTGTGAAATTGGTGGCCAAAGTTTTACAGCTCCAATCCCCCCCCCCCCCCGCCAAGAGGACAGTGGTAAAGTCCAGAGCACGCTGCTTCTCTTTTGCAGCTAAGGGCGTGTTCCCTAGCAACCGCGCGGAGGGGGAAAGGGGAGGAGCCAGGCAGGAGCTTGATTTCAGGAGGAAGACTGTATTGAGGCATTTTAATTTGAGTGAGTAAATACAATATTTAAGAAGAAACACAAACCAAAAATACTTGTAAGTGATCCTTTTATTGATAATGGTAACAGAAATCCAACTGCTGATCAAAATATTTTGGATGTCAAAAGTGCATTTCTTTTCCTCCTGCCTTAATGCAGCTTTTTTTCCTGAAAGGCGAACTGTGTTTCAGCCATTCAGATCATGAATATAGACAGCACCTGGCTTGCCAAAAGCAACATTTCATTGCTCTTCAGGACCCTCTGTCCACATTATGTACTGAAGTGCAAACTAAATGTTTTCATAAAGAATCATAGAATCAAAGAGTTGGAAGAGACCTCCTGGGCCATCCAGTCCAACCCCATCCTGCCAAGAAGCAGGAAAATCGCATTCAAATCACCCCTGACAGATGGTCATCCAATCTCTGTTTGAAAGCCTCCAAAGGAGGAGCCTCCACCACACTCCAGGGCAGAGAGTTCCACTGATGAACGGCTCTCACAGTCGGAAGTTCTTATTCAGGGGAATCTCCTTTCCTGTAGTTTGAAGTTCCTCGTCCTAGTCTCCAGGGCAGCAGAAAACAAGCTTGCTCCCTCCTCCCTATGATTTCCTCTCACATATTTATACATGGCTCTCATCATGTCTCCTCTCAGCCTTCTCTTCTTCAGACTAAACATACCCAGCTCTTTAAGCCACTCCTCATAGGGCTTGTTCTCCAGACCCTTGATCTGCTCTCTCCTCCCTATGACTTCCTCTCACATATTTATACATGGCTCTCATCATGTCTCCTCTCAGCCTTCTCTTCTTCAGGCTAAACATGCCCAGCTCTTTAAGCCACTCCTCATAGGGCTTGTTCTCCAGACCCTTGATCTGCTCTCTCCTCCCTATGACTTCCTCTCACATATTTATACATGGCTTTCATCATGTCTCCTCTCAGCCTTCTCTTCTTCAGACTAAACATACCCAGCTCTTTAAGCCGCTCCTCATAGGGCTTGTTCTCCAGACCCTTGATCTGCTCTCTCTTCCGTATAACTTCCTCTCACATACTTATACATGGCTTTCATCATGTCTCCTCTCAGCCTTCTCTTCTTCAGGCTAAACATGCCCAGTTCTTTAAGCCGCTCCTCATAGGGCTTGTTCTCCAGACCCTTGATCTGGAGAGACTGTGATTTCCCTCCACTTGGAAAATAGGGCTATCATGTCTCCTCTCAGCCTTTTCTTCTTCAGGCAAAACATGCCCAGCTCTTTAAGCAGCTCCTCATAGGGCTTGTTCTCCAGACCCTTGATCTGCTCTCTCCTCCCTATGACTTCCTCTCACATATTTATACATGGCTCTCATCATGTCTCCTCTCAGCCTTCTCTTCTTCAGACTAAACATACCCAGCTCTTTAAGCCACTCCTCATAGGGCTTGTTCTCCAGACCCTTGATCTTCTCTCTCCTCCTATGACTTCCTCTCACATATTTATACATGGCTATCATGTCTCCTCTCAGCCTTCTTTTCTTCAGGCTAAACATGCCCAGCTCTTTAAGCCGCTCCTCATAGGGCTTGTTCTCCAGACCCTTGATCATTTTAGTCGCCCTCCTCTGGACACATTCCAGCATGTCAACATCTCCCTTCAGTTGTGGTGCCCAGAATTGGACACAATGTAATTCCAGGTGTGGTCTAACCAAGGCAGAATAGAGCATGGGGAGCATGACTTCCCTGGATCTAGACGCTATGCTCCTATTGATGCAGGCCAAAATCCTATTGGTTTTTTTTTTTTTTGCCACCGCATGACATTGTTGGCTCATGTTTAACTTGTTGTCCACAAGGACCCCAAGATCTTTTTCACACATACCGCTCTCAAGCCACGCGTCCCCCATCATGTATCTTTGCATTTCATTTTTTACAGAAGTCAAACTGGAAAGCTCTTATTGACCCAGGGTCCCCCTTCTTCTTTTCTGATCTCTTTCCCCCTTCTAACAATTAAACATCACCTGGCTGTGTTCTTGAGAAACTCTAAAACAATTCAAGCTGTCACAGTGATTTAAGGATGAAGACATGTCAAGATGTGACCCAGTAAAGATGTGCCATGCCAAATGCTACATTTCTGAAGGATGGGGGTCCAATCTGCTCTTCTGATAGGAGGTCCTGATTTATAAAGACTGCTTATAGATAAAAATTCTACAAATGCTTTGCCTTCACCTCAGTACTCATCGTACAAAGCCTGACTTCTATTTGCGTGCAAGCTTCTATGCCAACATAAATGTAATCTGAACCATTTAAAGCCTGCTTTCATACTTGCCAGCATGATGTAAAGGACCCAGAGTGTAAATGAAATTCAAGGGAGGAAGAGCAACTGTAATGTCCAATATAAGGTACAATGTCCCTCTCATAGGAACCTGCATGTCAGAAGCATTTGAATTAAAATTACCATATTGAATTCAAATCTGATTTTTAATTTTTTAAAATTTGGTGTGCATTGGAAGAGGGGTGGTCTTATACGGCGAGTATATCCCAAACTCTATATTTTAACTAGAAAAGTTGGGGGTTGTCTTATACGCCCAGTCGTCTTATATGCCGGAATATACGGTTATTATTTGGAGTGCTTCTACCCCGCCCTTCTCAACCCCCTAGGGGGGACTCAGGGCGGCTTACAAAAGGCACAATTCGATGCCCAACAATTCACAAAATACAGTATACAATTTACAATTTAACATCAACAGTTACTACTAGTTAAAACAATCAAATCAATACAATAACAGCAATAAAATCATCTTGTGGTCATTGTTCGCCAATTTATAAATCCATAATCCATCCAGCATTGTCATTGTCCTTTCCTACTCTGGTCGTCATTGCCATTTGTCCATCTGCCATCTTACCCGAAGGCCTGGTCCCAAATCCAGGTTTTTAACTTCCTCCTGAAGGAGAGGAGGGATGTTGATGACCTAATTTCCCTGGGGCGTGCATTCCACAGGCGAGGGGCCACCACCGAGAAGGCCCTGTCCCTCGTCCCCACCAGTCTCACTTGTGATAAAGGTGGGGCCGAGAGCAGGGCCTCCCCGGAAGATCTTAAACTCCGAGGTGGGACGTAGAAGGAGATTTAGCTCTTTATTCAAAGTTCATAACTAGTGCCATAGCAATTTTTCCAATGCAGGGCCTAAATATATGCTTGATATAGGTTTACTGGTAAAAACAATTGCATTTCCCTTTCCTTACTTCTGCTCCATATCAGTAACCACTGTTGGCAGTGCTGGTCAAACACAGAGCGTGAAATTGTTATGACAGAGGTAAATATGCCTAGATGTTACAGGAAAGAGAGAAGCAGGGAGGATCTGTCATAGATGAGTCATTCCTGGCAGAAGTCCTGGGATTTTAGTTCTGTTCCTCTGTCATTCAAAAATAGAAAATTTCAATGATCATCTTAAACAGGCAAATGGCTACCTGTTTTTGCATCTTGAGTAGCATTTTAAAAGTACCGATAATTCAAAAAGAAATCAGCTAGACAGGTTAGTACAGGAAGAAGCAAGTTGAAAGATCTAAAATAATCAGAACGAAGGTGATAGAAGAGGTACCAGTATTCGCATTACAACAGGGCAAGTGCAGTGTGGTGGGCACTTTCTGTTTGTTATGGCCCTTAGGTTTGAAAGATAGAGGCGGGGAAGAAGAGGGTGGGATTTGTAAAGGATGATCAATCATAGAATCATCGAATTGGAAGAGATCTCTTGGGCCATCCAGTCCAACCCCCTGCCAAGAAGCAGGAAAATCGCATTCAAAGCACCCCTGACAGATAGCCATCTAGCCTCTACTTAAAAGCCTCCAAAGAAGGAGCCTCCACCACACTTTGGGGTAGAGAACAGATCTTACAGTCAGGAAGTTCTTTTTAATCTTCCAATCATTCCAGAGTAATTTGAAGTATAGATTCAAGGGGATTTATTCATAGTAGCAGAACATGACATTTACTGAAAATGTACACAGAAACTGTGCGAAAACTGTCTAATGCAGGCATAACACCAATAAATGCATTCAATAATAGGGGAGGTTCTTCTAAGCTAATACATAATCAAGTATTCTCTTTTTAAAAACGTCTTTGTATATGGAGATACACAGAACTTCACCAGTACTTGTAGAATACTGTATACCCTTTAGCCTATGAACTGCATTACTTAAAACAAACCAGAAACATTCTGGTATAACACATCTCTGTCCCTATTTTGCATCTTACTTTTCAGAACAAGTCTATTAACAGATGGTAATCATTTATTTGATAAGGCAGTTTTTTTTAATGGCTTTCGTTGTTGTTTCATTATTAAATATAACTAACTGATGTCTCTTCTTGGCCTTGTGAAAATAGATTTTCCATGATGTTGCTTACAAAGCCAAGGACCGTAGCGACCTGTTGGCTGGGTTTGATGAATTTCTGGACCAGGTGACAGTGCTACCGCCTGGAGAATGGGACCCATCGATTAGAATAGAGCCACCCAAACACCTCCCTTCCCAGGTAAATCATAATATGGAGACTTTCAGAATATTAGAGTACAGAAGTTTAATGCTTTTTGGATGTGTGAATCTTATGCTGGAGAACTTGTCCTCTGAGTTAGGTGGGCAATGATAATGTATATGATAATGTTTCCACCTATTTGTCCAGAGCCAGCCTAGCTGAAGATAGTTTGTTCAACTATTTTGGCATATTGAAATTGCAGGCAGGACGTTGTTCATGTTGAGTCTTGTGTTAAAACTGTAGCAACCCTGATTGTGTGTGTACATTATTTGACTTTTATTGTACTACTACGTTTTAATGGTTTTTGTGTGCCAGTTCCATGGACATAGGTTTGAACTGTTACCAGTGTTAGAGAATTGATAAAATTCCCTAATTTGTTGAATAGTGGCAACAAAGACTCGCATAGTTAAAGCAATAGTATTCCCCATAGCAACCTATGGATGTGAGAACTGGACCATAAGGAAAGCTGGGCGAAGGAAGATAGACACTTTTGAACTGTGGTGCTGAAGGAAAATTCTGAGAGAGCCTTGGACTGCGAGAAGATCAAAGCAGTCAGTACTCCAGCAGTCAGTACTCCTGGCTGCTCACTGATGGATATTAGAGGCCAAGATGAAGTACTTTGGCCACATCATGAGAAGACAGGAAAGCTTAGAGAAGACCATAATGCTGGTGAAAATGGAAGGAAAAAGGAAGATGGAGAGACAAAGGGCAAGATGGATGGATGGCATCCTTGAAGTGATTGGCTTGACCTTGAAGGAGCTGGGGTGGCCACGGTCGACAGGGATCTCTAGTCATGAAGAGTCGGATGTGACTGAACGAATAATCAATGAGAAGGGTTGAACCATTTGTAGATGATGTCATCTTTATCAGAATTTTTCTATCATTTGTAAGTTTTGGAGGATAGCCAGAGGGAAATTAGATATAGGTTTCTTGCAGTTCCACTTACTTGCTTACTTCCATCTTGTTCCATACAGTCTATGACAGTAACACAGAAGTCACCAAGTTTAAAGGAAGTAGAAAGGCTATATAAAAATAAACACAATAGCAATTTTGATCATAGAATCATAGACTCATAGAATTGGAAGAGACCTCATGGGCCATCTAGTCCAACCCCCTGCCATGCAGGAAAAGCACAATCAAAGCACCCCCAACAGATGGCCATCCAGCCTCTGTTTAAAAGCCTTCAAAGAAGGAGCTTCCACCACACTCTGAGGCAGTGGCTCAGATGGCTCAGCATCTGAAACAAAGAAGAGGAGAAGGGGAGGCCCAAATTGAGGAGAACAAAATAACACCCCTTACTGCAACCACAAACTGAGTCAAGAGACAAATCTGCCTCAAAAAAAAAAAAAAAAAAGGAAAGAAAAGAAAAAAGAAAGAAAGAAAGAAGAAAAAGAAAAAAAGAGAAAGACAAGGGAAATGGGGTGGAAGGAGGAAGCTAAGTACATTGAATTACAAAGTAGTAAATGAACCCCCTTCCATGCAACAATCTGATATGAAACTTCCCTATTGCGGATTCTAGTCACTCTCCTCATGGAAGACCTCCTATAAAGATTATACCATCTTTTTGTGTCTGTTTCTGTGTATTTGTACTGATGCCCCATTTTTGATACAAGCAAATAAAAAGTAATGATATTGTTCACTGTTTTAACATTTTATTAGGAAAAGAGAAAGATGCCAGGACCACCAGGGGTCCCCAATGGAAGTCTTTGCCACGAGGAAATAGAAGATGACAGAGGGCCAGAGCTCCAGAGAACGGGAAGGTGAATTTCTATTCTATCTGCCTTTAATGGCTTGTAGTAAAAGCAACTCTCAGTCATAACAGTAGAACTCAGAGTTGTCCAGGGACATTGATAGTGGTTTCAGAAAACCTTCTTTATGGTAAAGAATCAGTAATGAATGTACATGGATATCTTCTGCTTTGAAGTATTAGCACTAATGACCATTGCTAGCTCTCAGGGGCATAGTGAGAAAGGTAGTTACTAGTCCTAAAAGAAAAAGAAAATACAATAATTTGGAGATTTAAAAGGGGAACATTCTCCTTGATTTCCTTTTGCAAGCAGACAGACAATTTTATTCAAGCCAGATTGTGAAGCATAAGGAAGAGTGCTTTTTATTGAGCCTATTTAACCTTTCATACATTTTTATTTTATTTTAAAATGTATCATATTTTAATTGATTTTTGAAAGATACTGATTTGTTTCCACATTTATGTTATCAATTTTCTAACCCAGGAATGAAATGACACATTGGCATGTCTTTTGGTATGCAATATGTCTGTCTCTTCTTTGCAGGCTCTTTGGTGGCTTGATCTTGGATGTGAAGCGGAAAGTTCCTTGGTATTGGAGCGACTTTAAAGATGGTTTGAGTTTCCAGTGCTTAGCCTCCTTCCTCTTCCTGTACTGTGCCAGCATGTCTCCTGTGATCACTTTTGGGGGGTTACTTGGAGAAGCAACAGAGGGACAAATAGTAAGAAAGTCTCCCAACTGTTTTGTGCATTATTAGTAATTCTCAGGTAGATGGCAATAGAAGCAGTTACCTTACAGAAGTGTAAAGTTGCTTGAAGGGGGAGGTCTGTCACAGATGTAGCAGCCCCTCTAAAATTTGTTATTGCCATCTGTTTGGAATCTAGCATTGGCCAGACTCTTTGCTCTGACTCAACCTGGCAATTCTTGTGATTTTATCTCTGTGTTTTAACCTTCAGAGTGCAATAGAATCCTTGCTCGGAGCTTCAATGACTGGAGTGGTGTATTCGCTCTTTGCTGGTCAGCCCCTCACCATCTTGGGCAGCACTGGGCCTGTGCTGGTCTTTGAGAAAATTTTGTACACATTTTGCAAGTAAGGCTGTGCTCTCTTTCACGATCAGTAGACGGATGAATGCAATAGATAGCAAGAAGTGTGGCACGGGAGTGGGGGGGGGGGGAACAGCAACAAACTCAATTACAAATAGAGTCAGACAGGAGTGGGATCTTGATGGATTACTAGGGGGCATATAGGACTAAATAGCTTTTGTATCTCTATGACATCATGATTTTGTCATCAGAACCAGATATTTGTCCCATATTCCTATTTGTTTTTTATATATATATATATTTATTGAGTATTTACAAAGATGGATCTAAAATCCAGAAAAAAAGGGGGGAGGGTTTTTTTGGGGGGACAGGGTGGATGGGGTAGTGGAGAGGGAAAAAAGAGTAAATAAATAAATAAATAAATGTTGCACGGTGATATTATAATAAACTTTATAATAATAATAATAAACTTTATTTGTACCCCGCTACCATCTCCCCAAGGGACTCGATGCGGCTTACATGAGGCCAAGCCCAAAGTACATCAAACAAAACATCAATAAACACAACATCAATAAACAATCAATAAAATACAAATCATATAAATCACATAAACAATCAATGGTGACATATAAACAATTTTAAAAAATGGACAGGCCGAATGTAATAGATTAAAATTGAAAATATGCTGACGTGAACAAGGTAAAATATAACTGGGATAGGATTTTTCAGAGAAACGAGGGAACGCAGTCCATCCTAAATCAGTATTAAAGTGCATTATGACGGCATATTGCTGAGAGTTCTCCTTATTCTGGGAATATTAAACTTCCACTCTTCCTTATAATGGTGTCCCAAATATTCCTTTTTCCTTCCCCCTATTATCCCCGCTCTCTGGTGTGTCCCCTTTTCTACAGGGACTATGGCCTTTCTTATCTCTCATTACGATCATGCATTGGCCTGTGGACTGCTTTCCTATGTGTCGTGCTTGTGGCAACTGATGCCAGTTCCCTTGTCTGCTACATCACCCGGTTTACAGAAGAAGCTTTCGCCTCTTTGATCTGCCTCATTTTCATCTTCGAATCTTTAGAGAAATTGCTTAAACTGGGAAGGAAATATCCAATTCACATGAACAGCAATCTTGACCAACTCACCTTGTATTAGTAAGTGTTTTAAAATCAATTGTTGTCGATTTATTTGCATTCACTGATTATTTTGAGAATGTCAATTATGAGAAGTCTGGTTATGTATGTTTATATTCCAGTTGGTGGGGTTAGTCCCAATTAAACCTCTGTAATTCTAGTGTTTCACTTGTTTTTAAAAGTCCCCACTCCCCCCCCCCCTCTTCTTTTATCTCTATCTTACTTCAGTTTCTGCAAATAAGTCCAAAATGCAAAAGTAATTTGCACTGAATCCAGCTAGGAGTAGGAGAGATGTGGAATTTTGCCTTACCCAGCAGGTTTGGGCAAAAGCAAATTACTGCAGCCTCTCCTTGCTTATTTGTTATTTCTCATTAATAAAAAAGACTGCACTTTGAAGTTGCTTGGCTATGCAGTGTTCCCTCATTTATTGCGGGTGTTACGTTCCATGATGACCTGCGAAAAGTGAAAATCCATGAAGTAGGGATGCTATATATGTATATTGTATTCCGAGGTTGAGGCAGAAGCGAGGAGAGATTTAAAGGCACCATACAAGCTTTTTTTTTTTGTGCTAGTTATCTCTGCTTTGCTTTGCAATCTCTCTTGATTGGCTGCTTCTCTCTCTTGCCCCTTCCACACTCCATTGTTGCTGCTCTGGGCTACAGCAACCATTCATAAACTGGGTGGCAAAAACCCGCAAAACAGAGAGCCTGCAAAAAGCAAATTGCGAAGTAATGCGGGAACACTGTATTTATTCTGGTTTTGATCTGTGAGATGTTGGATAGTATCACATCTCTTATAATATTATAATGTAATACAATATAATACTAGTAATAATAATACAATATTATAATTATAATTATATATTTACATTACATGTAATATTACTAATATTACAATATAATGGCATAGTGCAATATAGTATTATTATTAACTTTATTTATAGCCCGCAAAATCTCCCGAAGGACTCGATGCGGCTTACAAAGGCCAAGGCCGCCAACAACAAAACATACACATACACAATAAAAGTCATAAGCAAATAAAACATCAAGCAAAGCATTAGAACATAGTAATATAGTAATATATAATACTGATATTGTAGTATGCTAATAATATAATATCTTGTATGAAAGTATATCTTGTAAGCCGCTCTGAGTCTCCTTCGGGGTGAGAAGGGTGGCATATAAATGCCATAAATAAATAAATAAATAAATAAATGGTTCTCAACCTGTGGGTCCCCAGATGTTTTTGCCTTTCGTTCCCAGAAATCCTAACAGCTTGTAAATTGGCTGGGATTTCTGTGAGTTATGGGTCCCCAAAACACCTGGGGACTCACAGGTTGGGAACCACTGCTTTTAATTAAACATTGTTTGGAAAATGCAGAGTAATCAGTGACAGCTATGTATTCTTGATAATCTTGCACCAGACAACCAATTCTGATGTTACAGATTTAATAGACGCATTTAACACAGTATCCTTTGCTCTTTTTTTAAAAGAGTTTGAGCTGAGATAGTCTCCCCCCCCCCCTCGCACTTGATTCTTGGTCATTTCCTTTTTTCAAGGGGTAGCAAAAGAGGGTAAAGTGGGCAGAGAACTTTCTGCGAGCTGCACTTGTTCTCCTGAAAATCTGGGCAGCCTTATTTTTAGCTTCCTTGAAGTACCAAGAGGAGAAGCAGTGACAATTGTCCTCGCCCTTGATTGTGTCAATGTCAGTGTTATATCACATTGCATGGCTATTAAGCCAATCAGAGGAAGGGCAGTGCTGTTCTGCTCCTGAGATTTCAGAGCTGTGAAATGTGTGGCATTGAAATGAGCTGGTCTTGGAAAGGCAGGTTCAGACAACCTTTGGAGAAAAGACATTAAATAATTCCCCCCCTTCTAAGAATTTTTATCTAAGGCCCCATTTACCCTGACCATTTAATTCAATTCAAAGTGAACCTGTCACTGATTTTTGTGGCAAGATATGTTCAGAAAGGGATTGCTTTTGCCTCCTCCTGAAGCAGAGAGAGGACAATTTTTTATTTGAGAATTATTAATTTATGTATTTAATTATCCTTTTCTTATTCCTATCAGCTGTAGATGTTCAGCCCCGCAGAAGCCCAGTGCTGAAACGTTGGACTACTGGGATAGCAAAAACATCACATCCTCAGCAGTTGCATGGGCTAATCTCACTGTTTCTGTAAGTCTTTGGACTTTTCGGGGGGGAAAACCTTTAGCACAGCATCATCCACTAAGTCAGTGGTTCTCAACCTGTACGTCCCCAGATGTTTTGGCCTTCAACTCCCAGAAAACCTAACAGCTGGTAAACTGGCTGAGATTTGTAGGCCAAAACACCTGGGAACCCACAGGTTGAGAACCACTGCACTAAGTAGAAAAATATTTCATTAACTGAAGAGTTTTGTGGCACCTTATAGCACCATGTGCCTTATTTGGGATAGGCGTTCATGGGCTGGGAACCATTTCATAAGATGCTTGAAATACTGTAGTTGGCAGATATTTACTCAAGGGTGAGAGGTGACTCTGAGGTGACCAAAATGTACAATGTGCAAACATTAATGATTCTCTCAGCCGGAGTAATTGTCAATAGCTGGGTGGAATTTTAATTAAAAGCCTTTGTTCTGTACAGGTTCTGTAAAGGTAATGATAAATGTCTTTTTATTTTATTCCCACTTCAATTGCCCTGCAAATCATGTATGTACATAAATACTTACAAGCTAAAGCAATACTCCATGAATCTCATGAAATGGATTTGTATACATCAAAATCTATGCCAAATAAAAGTCGTTAGACTGTAACTGATGACATGAAATCTCCAAAATGTTATGCCCACACAACTTGAGATCTTAACATCTACAGGAGTATCTCTTTTCCTTTTTTTATCAGCCTGTGCATGTATGGGCCTTCGTGTCATCCCTTGACTTATCATGACCCCATGAAAGAAATAGGGGTTTTTTTAGAGACAAAATACTCAAAAGTTATTTTGCCAGTTCTTTCTTCTTATATCGTATATACTCGAATATAAGTTGAGTTTCTCGGGTTATAATGGTGTCAAGGCTCCAGCAGCTATTTCTAGCCGTTGCTTGCAATATATAATATATATCTATATATTTGAGTATCAGTGAACCTGAATATAAGCCAAGGCACCTATTTTTACCACAAAAAAACTGGAAAAACATAAGCATAAGCCAAGGGCAGGAAAGGCAGCAGCTACTGGTAATTTCAAAATAAAAATAGATACCAATAATATTATATTAATTGAGGCATCGGTAGGTTAAATGTTTTTGAATATTTACCGTATTTTAAAGAAAAAAGCAGTAAACTAGCTCTGTAAGTGGAAAAGTAGGGTCAACAAAAACAATGTGGTATCAACAGTAACATAATAATAATAATAATAATCAACAACAACAATAACGACTTCATTTGTATCCCACCCTATCTCGCCATGGTGACTTAGGCCGGCTTCCAATATAGTAACAGGCAAACATTCAATGCCTATATAAACAATGCAGAGCTACTAATTTCACATATGCATTTCCCCTGAAAAACGTTTGCAAATACTCACTCTCTATATGTGCATTTCTCACCTGCAATATTTGCAAGCCCTATATATCTATGTTCATATCTATCTATATCTATCTATATGAATGTGTGTGTGTGCATTTCCCCTGCAATATTTGGAAGCCATATATGTGTGTGTGTGTGTTTATAGCCTACAGTGCCTTACAAAATCAGATAGGACCTGATGCCTTACAACCAACCTGTGGCTTAAAATCATCAATGGATGCTCTTCTCCAATTATCTCTGGCACACTATGTGTCAACAAAGAAGGTCGTCTTTTCGGTTGCAGAACTGCAAATATATAATATTTTTCTTGTTGAAGTGCCAACTTTATCTGCCAGGATTGACTTCTGTTATTGTTTATTCGATGCCATACTGTAATTTATATTGCTGCACTCCATTTATTGTTTGAATTACTTTTGTGCTATTTGTACAGGCAAGGGGAAGTTTAAAAATGTCCAGAGAGGGATGATAAAGAAATGCCAATAAAATGGTGTTGTTATTAAGGTACCACTAGATTCTGTTTGCTGTGACAAGCTGATTCTAGTATTCCCTTGGGAATTTCTTACTCAAAATTAAACACGCCAGCATTGCTAAAGAGGGTCACTACATGAGACTAACAGGTTCCCAGTGATGAAGCAGGGAATCTCTTCGTCAAGGGAACAAGGGAACAGGCACTTTAAACGTGAACCACTGAAATGTGAAATAATGACCATAACGAATGAATCTGAAAGATCTTTTGAGGAGATTGGAGCTTAGGTTCTAAAACATGTTACATGGAATTTCTACAGAACTTAATGAAAACTTTTAGTATGTGATATTCTACTAGATCAGTGGTTCCCAACCTGTGGTCCGTTGACCACCAGTGGTCCACAAGAACTAAAATATGGTCTGCAGCCTCACTATTCTACATTATTGCAATGAGAGTGACTGATCTCACAAAACCCTCTTATAATGCCGAGGCTTATTCAATATGGTTTTCTGAGGGCAAGGAGATGGCTACTACTGGAATGGCATATGTTATGTATCAGAAACTAGAGCTGATGTGATCTGTACAATGCAATTTTCTGAATCAGCACCCCAAATAACCAAACCAAATCTAAAGAAATGATTCCTAACCTTATTGGTACTGATGTTGGATAGTGGTCCATGGTCAATGTGGTTCCTGGTCAAGTCCCTGGTCAAGTGGTCCCTGGTCAAAAAATGTTTGGGAACCATCGTTCTAGGTTTCTCAGTGGCTGTTTTTCATTTTCAATGCAATCAGGACTGAGCCCAGTTTTGTACATGAATTAACGACGACATTGTACTCTTAAGTCAACTTAGGGCAACACTCCCACCAAGAATAATAGCTTTGCTTGGATGTGGTGGTATCGTCCACGGAGAGCTGCAGTACTTTAAATGCTATAAAGTGCCATTTGGCAAAGCATTGCCTTTAGGAATTTGCTTGAATAGTTAGCATACATATGCATTAGTGTATTATTTATGTATTTATTTATGTATTTAAAACATTTATATTCCTCCCTTATCACCCCGCAGGGGGCTCAGGGCAGAGCACAACATATATATGGCAAACATTCAATACTGGGACATAAAACCAGAAATATATACAAAAATTAAAATCATTTATTTCCACTTTAAAATCAGTTGCTTAAAACCATCTCTTATGGTAAATATGTACTTTATCATATTTCATTTCTGATCCTGTACCACCTCTGTTGTGTATTATTCTGGTACTATTCTAGCATTTCCTGCATGTACAATTTTAGGCTAAGAATTTTTGCCAGAACAAAATGTTGAGGTTGCACAATTACACCATTGCCCTTGTAAGGCTGTCTGTGGTTAATGAAAAGCCAATAATATTTAGCCTGCTCTGCTTGTTCCATTCAATTTGATGTTTCTCTGTTACTAGACATCAGTAGCCCTCATTCAAATGTTCACTGTAATTATCTCCTGTTGCCATGGTTGTGCTTTTAATGCTCCAATTATACCTTTTTGAACAGCAATGTCATGAGATGCATGGAGAATTCACTGGCCCTACATGCGCCGACGATGGCCCCTTTACACCCAATGTTCTTTTCTGGTCCACTATCTTGTTCTTTGCTACCTTCATCCTGTCCAGCCTCCTGAAGCAGTTTAAGACTAGTAGTTACTTCCCAACAAAAGTAAGTAACTGGTGACGATAAACCAGTTTAAAGCCTGTTTTTTTTCTATATAACAATGGCTGTCTAGGTATCTTTCAGTGCCCTGCTTAGTTTTCTCATTGGAAGCCTAGACTGAATCCTCTCCTCAGCACTATTGAGATGGATAATTTTCTTTGCATCTGTTTATTTCTCTCTCTCTGAGTCCTCCCTTACAAACAGTTCTGCCCCTTTATCTCACCCTGAGTTTTTAAATCATTTTATGTACTTGCAGCCCGCTCTCTGTCATTATGTTTGGTTTCTATGTTTTGTGTGTACTGTTCATATGCTTTGATGTTTTTACTTTATTGTGATGTTGTTTATTTTATTGCAATTAGTATTTTTGTATTGTAATTTGTTGTTCGGGCTTGGCCCCATGTAAGCCGCTCCGAGTCCCTGTTGGGGGAGATGGTGGCGGGGTATAAATAAAGATGATGATGATGATGATGATGATGATGATGATTATTATTATCTGTTAAGAAGGCTCAAGTCTTGGAAAACTGATGCCAAGTTAAACATTCTGTTCAGCAGTTACAAAGCTTGTTAGGTAGATGTACTACCACATACATGCTAGGGATTAATTACCAAGGGTGACCTCACAAAACCTACGATTGTAACCCGACAATGCCCTGAACAATCAGAATTCATGGGATGCCTTGCTACTAGTTGTTGTGGTGGACCCCCAAAAAGTCTCTCTCTAGCTGCTTGGTCTCAGTGCGCTTTTCAGCAAAGAATGCACTGCCAATGTAATTTCCCAGTATCCCAATCTGCAACACCTCAGCCAAGGTGCTTCAGGGGTACAAAGGACGTTTTTGGGGAGTGGCTTTATCAGTTGTACCTCTCTAGTTATTGTTACGGGATATTAGCCATTGGTTTTGGGTGCTTCAAGACTCAGTTGCTTTCCTTTGGGTATGGATTCAGCTTGGGTGCAGATATCTGCATCCTTGCCAGATAAGACAGGTATCTTTCTCTTTCAACTGCAAGGCGGCAGTACAGAAGTCCAGGAAAACCACAATTGCTAAAGATATAAAAGTGCACCAGAGCAGGGGGCAATACTTCCTGCATTGGATGTGATTGGAGAGGCAGGAGGGAAAGAGCTAAAGAATGTAGTCAAGTAATGCTTTGCTTGACTCATTTTATTTTCTTTCACTATTTCCCTGGGCCCTTCTTCCTGCATTTTAAGTTATAGCGTGGACTGAATTAAACAGAACAGTTTCTGTGGACTGCAACACCCCTTCCACACTTAGCTTGGCATCACAAATCCACTGATATACACTGTAGTGTGTTATTCTGGCTAGCTCATACCACATTGTGGTTGATGTCTTGAGTTTGAATTTTTTTTCATGTCAGGAGCGACTTGAGAAACTGCAAGTCGCTTCTGTTGTGAGAGAATTGGCCATCTGTAAGGTCGTTGCCCAGGGGACGTCCAGTGTTTTTGATGTTTACCATCCTTTTGGGAGGCTTCTCTCATGTCCCCACATGGGGAGCTGGAGCTGACAGAGGGAGCTCACCCGTGCTCTCTCTGGATTCGAACCTGGGACCTGTCGGTCTTCAGTCCTGTCGGCACAAGGGTTTAACCCACTGCGCCACCGGGGAATTGATGACTTCCTAGCCTGTTTCAGCTCTTGGAGAAAAAGGGTGGTATAGCTGCAATAGAGAGAGGTTCAGTCTGAGCTTTTAGCTGCTAACAAGCTAAATATATGCCAGGGTGTGTGCCATATGCTGCTTGCATTCTTTGGATGTGGAGGTGTGTAGGGGGATCATACACACGTAGACACTTTGTAAGTAATTTAAGACATGACTTGTCTCAGGTCTGTCTAATGCTATCGGCTTTTCTGGCCTATTGTCCTTTTCAGTCGCTGGACTAGCTATTTGAACCCTGATCCACTGTGATAACAGAGTGAAGTTTCCTGAGTGCCCTGACAACCAGCATGCACCCTGTTGAGCCCATTCCTGCTTTCTCTCACTAGGTACGTTCCATTATTGGTGACTTTGCTATTTTCATTACCATCGTTATCATGGTGTTGATTGACTACTTAATTGGAATCCCATCACCGAAGCTAAACGTCCCAAGCTCCTTCCAGGTAGGCTTGCCTTTTTAATAATGATACACTTGATATGCATAGAGTCAGTCTTGGTTGGATGAAGGGAGTCCTTTGTAGATGTCTAGCAGAGCTCACGTTTGGGCATAGAAGGCATATTATACTTGAGGAGTTGAAACCGATGGGAGGAAGGTCTAATGCAATGATATAAGAGTGAGAGTACTAAGGAGGGAACTACCCTTAGGGAAAATAAAACATCTATTTATTTATTTATTTATTTATTTAAACGTTTTCTATACCGATCTTCTCACCTACAGGAGGGACTCAGATCTGGTTCACAACATGTGTTCCTATACAAAAATACAAACCACACAATGCATCATCATTACACAATTAAAAACATATTACAATACAACATCGTCATCATCACACTTATATAGCCATGTCGTCAAAGCATTCCTGGTCATAATTCACAGTTAATCTACCCTTAATTCAAAGGAGGGATGTGTGAACCAAGGCTCAAGAGACTAATCACAATCAGCTGAGGAATTGTGAAAGAGGTGTGTGTAAGGGGTGGGACTGGGGAGAGATTAAAAAGAGACACAGCAAAGGAAAAGAGGGAAGAGAATGAGAAAAGATTGGGAAATTTGCCCTTAAATTTGTCTGTGATGAAGATGTGGGTATCTTGGCACTGGACTATCTGACCGAATATTATTGACCCAAATGGTCAAGGGACTGCTTTTGTCATGCAAGCCAAAACTTTTGCCATTCCTCTTCCAAAAAAAGAGAAGCAGTCTGCAACATTGGCACTCAACACAGGGGTCCTTCTAAAGAGACAAACCCTACACAGCGGATGCTTTATTTGAATTGAAGAACAACAACAAGTACTCCTCCAGTAATTGGAAGGGCAACAGTCTAGAGCAATGGTTCTCAACTTGTGGATCCCCAGGTGTTTTGGCCTACAACTCCCAGAAATCCCAGCCAGTTTAGCAGCTGTTGGGATTTCTGGGAGTTGAAGGCCAAAACATCTGGGGAACCCACAGGTTGAGAACCACTGGTCTAGAGTTTGGGAACAGACATTAAGGGCTTAGCAACTGCCACAAGGTGAACTGATAAACCATTGGCAGCTGCTAGAACTCACCCAACAGAGATTGCCAAGTTCCACATACTTCCTCCTATTATAAGATTTGTAAAGAGAATTGTATTGAGGCCTTTATATTGAGGCACTGCTGCCAACTGGATTCTGGACTCTCATAGTGGCTCCACGCTTGGTCAGACCAGTCCAAGAAGTGATTGATTTCTTGGCACCAGTCAAGACCACAAATTAGGAAAAAGTCAAGGAGCCAATTTTGAGTACTCTGAATTTACCAGAGGATGCCTATCACCACTTGTTTAGAGAAGTGTAATAGTGACTTGGACTGCATCCAAGGGCTCAGAAATTAAGAGTGAGTGGCTTAAACCAGCTGTAAGAAGTGCTACACAGGTGGTAGAGTAGTAATATTGGCGCAATTTGTCAATATTCTGCTCTTGAAAGCTCATACCTGAAGATGGTGCCACAAGTTAGATACACTGGAAGCTGCAGTGGTGTTGATGGAAGCTTTGCTGGGACAAAAGAAGTGAGAGTAACTATCCTCAACCCAGCACATCCCAAGAGCACCCAATCAACCAAGTGACAGTCAATGAAAAAGCTGTCAGATGTAAAACCTGAGCTGTGGGAGTTCAATTCAGCTCTCTACACTATACAAGTATGACACTGGAAAGGGACTTCCAGGAAGGGGGACCTGGCAACCCTATAGTGTGTTATAAATCTAGACAGAACGGACGTATATGCTCATGTTGTCCACTTATGGAATGTGAGCTGGCAAATGCATGGGTAGCATCACAGCTGAGGTCTTGTCCCCAGGCAGAATGGGGGTTACTATCAGAAGTGGATGGGGTCAAAGTAACAGCCTTAGTGGATTCAGGATGTGGAAAGATCTTAGTATGCTAGGCTGCTGGCCCTTCTTATCTTGGTGAAATGCATTCATAGGGATGTGAAGCCATAGGGGAGCTCCTTGGTATGATAGTAGGACAGGGTACAGCAGCATAACTTCCTTTTTTCAAAACTTAATAAAACCCATTGTATGAATCATATTTTTTTATAATGTAAGCACATACCTAAAGTTTTGTTTTACGTAGTTTTGAAGATCAAATTAGGTAGGTGACGTCCCCCATTCTCCATACACTGAGTAAACCAATTTCTGGTGTTTGTCGGGACTCTTGCCAGCATAGCAGGCATTATGTTGGCAATTTCTTCCTGGATGTTGGTCTTCAAATCTTGTAGGGTCCTTGGACGGTTTACATAAACACAGGATTTCAAAAAAACCCATAGAAAAAAACCATAAGGAGCCAAATCTGAAGAGCGGTCCGGCCACTCCAAATCCGCTCGAAAAGTAGACCTCAATGGCAAAAGCACGCTCCTCACTGTTCCAACGCATGATGGCGACTGAACTGTGTCAGGACAAAACTTTATACTCCCGCCTCTCGAACGAGACCACTAGCGCTCCGCTACGTCTTCAACCGACTGAATGGCGCACATTTTAAAAAAGGAAGTTATGCTGCCTCACCCTGTAGTAGGCCAGAAACAACAGTTTAAGGTGGGAGTGGTTCCCAAGTTATCAAAATTGGCTGTGTTAGGGAGAGATTGTCCACACATATCTAGTCTACTGACCCCATCATATTTAGATGAAGATGGGGAGGTCTCCTATAGGGATAATTTTCTTATAAGGGGCATGGGTAGTGTAACTCGAGCCCAGTTGTAGCTTTGCAACAAGGTGATTCCTATTTGACTTACGCATTGAATCAGGCCCAGGGCACAACACACTCCATATATCTACCGTATAGAGTAGTTCAAAAGAAAGATATAGGGGAAGAAAGGTGACAGCTAGTGGTTTTCCGGGCTCATGATATTCCTAGCGTGGGGCAATTGGCCAGGAAAAAGACCGTGGACAGAATACTCCAAAGGTTCTATTGATCAAGGATATATAAAGAGGTTTTGCGCTATTGTGATTCATGTCCGGAATGCCAAAAAGCACAGGTCTCATGCCAGGCTCCTGCCCTACTAGTGCCCATGCCCATAGTTGCAGTTCCCTTTGAGAAGATAATTTTGGACTTGGTGGGATCACTGGAAAGAGGGGCATACTCATATATTGGTACTGATAGATTATGTACTAGGTTCTCTGAAGCATTTCCCTTAAGATCCACCACCTCTCAGGACATTACTAAAGAGTCGTTACCCATTTTTGCAGGATTGGCATCCCAAAAAAGATCTTAACAGATCAGGGAACCAATTTCTTGAGTTAGCTGTTGAGACGAATTTGGGAAACTTTGAAGATCAAACCTGTAAAGACCTGTATATCATCCTCAGGATAATGGATTGATAGAGAGGTTTAATCGCACCCTCAAGCATATGCTTAGAAATTTAGTAGGCATCTGACCTAGGGAATGCCACAAATTATTACTTTCCTTGTTGTTTTCCACCTGGGAGGTACCCCAAGCTTCAAATGGATTTTCCCCCTTTGAGTCGCTCTTTGGGAGACAACCAAGAGAAGTTTTAGACCTGGTTAAGGAGGATTGGAAAAGGAGACCTTTTCCACTTGTTCAGTATTGCAACATGTTCTCGAGATGCAAGAACACCTTAAGGTAGTGTCCCAAATAGCAAAAGAGCATTTGGAAAAGCCCCAGATAACTTAGAAGTCCTATTATGATCAGAGGGCAAGATTGCAAGAGTTTACTACCCTCTTCAGAGGCTAAGTTGGCAAGGGCCCGTTGAAGTGATTAAGAGAGTGGACCCTGTAAATTATAAGATCAAGCTTGAAGGATGGAAACAAAGGACTCAAATCTTCCATGTTAATCTGTTAAAGGAGTGGAAAGGGCAAGGAGTCCTTCCAGACTTGGATGAAGAAGATCTTGATTCCGATGTAGGAGATATAGTAATGAAAACTCCAAATGCTATAGGGAAACAGCTGACGCCAGAAAAGGTCAAGCAGGTGAGAAACTTAGAAAGAGCATAGGTAAAGGTAAAGTTTCCCCCCTGACATTAAGTCCAGTCATGTCTGACTCAGAAGGTTGGTGCTCATCTTCATTTCTAAGCCAAAGAGCTGGCGTTGTCCGTAGACACCTCCAAGGTCATGTGGCTGGCATGACTGCATGGACTGCCGTTACTTTCCCACCAAGACTGTACCTATTGATCTACTCACATTTGCATGTTTTCGAACTGCTAGGTTGGCAGAAGCTGGGGCTAACAGCGGGAGCTCACGCCGCTCCTTGGATTCAAACCGCCGACCTTTCAGTCAACAAGTTCAGCAGCTCAGCCGTTTAACCCACTGTCCCATCGGGGGCTCATACCCTGATGTTTTTTTCCACCAGGCCAGGGCAGATCAGTAACTAACGTCATGCATTAACCATTCCAGGGAAGATAGTAAGGAGTCCAGGGCAAGTATGGGCTCAAATATTAAAGGATGCCACCAATATGAAAGCAGAGGCCATGCTAAAATGGGGGTCATTGATGTTATCCCATGGTGTTTACTAGCTCTAATTTTGGCTCTCTTAAGCGGGATCAGACAGTAGTCTTCCCATGATGTTTCTTCCTTTCTGTAAGCATCTCATCTGATCCCAGTTAAACAACGTCTGCTGCCTGTTCTGTAAATAGCCAGGTAGTATTTGGCTTTAAAGCAAAGGTGCGCAGCCAAATTGTGTTCCTTTGCCTTGTGAAGGATTCTGTCCTTTTCTCCAGCTTTCTTCCCTCCAGTCAATGACAACAGTATGTCATGAGCAGATTCAACTTCAGGAGAAGAGTCTCACAGCCACCATTAACTTTAATCAATAGATGCTGGCAATAAAAAACCCTAAATTTATAATTATTAATTTCTTGGTGTTGCAAGAATTGGGACTTCCCAAGTTACTTTATTCTAGCTCTGGTTAATTTGCCAGCATTGCTTTGAATGCTTGTGAACAAAAAAATGTTACCAGACAAAAAGGGGAGAAAATCTGCTTTCAGGGGGGTTTTCTACCTTCATTTCTTCCTTTTTTTCTGCAGTCATGATAACAATCATTCTTTTATATTCCAAAACCACCCTTTAAAAGGACAGCTTATTTCAGTTCCTTGCAGAGGTAGATTTTAATTTGTTTTATTTTCTCAATCTTTCAGAACCAAAAGGTTATATTCATATTTTAATTTTTAAAAGCACACGATTTCCTACCTGTCCCTTTACAAATGTATGAAAACACTGTTGGGTCTGTGCCAAGCTTGGTCCAGATCCATTGTCAGTTGTGATCACAGTGCCTTTAGGTGAACTACATATCCCACCAGCCTGGATCGATCCCCCACCTCCCCCAGTATTCAGATTTGGTCATGTTGTGTATGTGTGCCCAGTTTGGTCCAGATCCATCTTTAGGGACTCAGGCCCTCATGGAAAGTCCACGTGGTCCATTTGCAGAGGCTTCTCAAGGCTCTTAAATAGGCAGGTCTTGCTGCAAATCCTAAGAAATGTAAAGTGGTGGCACAAACTTTGTTGCCCTACTTGGATTGCATTGTAGATGGTTGCAGCTTAAGATCAGTGCCAGAGAAGGGTGACTGGGTATTCAGATGACCCAGGCCTCAAACTAAGGCAGAAGTACAGCAGTTTGTGGGACTGAAAGGATATTAGAAAATTCCTTCCACATTTTGCCAGTTTAGCTGCCCCCTTAACTGGTTTGCGTAAGAAGAGATGTCCAAAGAAAACCACATGGGGAGAATGAGAGGAGCAGGCATTTCAGGGTTTTAAAAAAGGCCTCTGGTATTAACCACACCAAACCGTGTTCAACCATTTATTGTGCAGACAGATGCTTCGGCATGTGGGTTGGGGTGATCTTGGCCCAATGGAAAAGTACAGAGAACCATCCCATCTTGTATCTAAGCAATAAATGAAGTCCCATGGAACAGTAATATTTGACAGTTGAACAGGGGAAATTGACAGTGAAATGAGCCATACACACCCTCTGACACTATTTATGGGGTGACCCCTTTCAGCTTGTCACACATCATAACCTGTTGCAATGGTTGCATCTTAGCCTCCAACCCCATGTGTTCATCATTTCTTGCCACCATGGCAAGAATCATGCCAATGTGGATTATTTTTTCTTGTTAGAGTGAGCTGGCTGGGATGCAAGAAGGAGGTGGTCCCTTGTGTGTGTGTGTGTGTGTGTGTGTGTGTGTGTGTGTGTGTGTAAGAGTGTGTGTAAGAGTGTGAGTACTACACCACCCCATTGACATAGGAACCATGAACTGCGACTACTGCTGTTTCCTGATTCCTTTTATCAAGACTTATTGCAGTATTGCATGAAGAAAACTGTCGTTGTACTGACATGTGATAAGTTATTTCATTGATCTGTTGCTAGGATATGTTTGCCTGATGCGATGAATGCTACAATCCAGGGGGTTCTTACAGCTATAACCATGAATTTGACAACCCAAAATAGGCTGAAATACCAAGGGCAAGATTTCTTTACATCATGTAATAGCATTCCTAAAATCTCACCAGATCAAGAGGAATTACATCAGAGGCTGGTCGATACCTAAATAGCACTACGTGGTACATTGTTATGCCTGTGTATTTTTCTGCAGCCAACCAGTGATGACCGTGGTTGGGTCATTGGTCCTTTAGGGCCCAATCCTTGGTGGACAGTGGTTGCAGCTACAATCCCAGCTTTGCTCTGCACCATACTGATATTTATGGACCAGCAGATCACTGCAGTTATTGTGAACAGGAAAGAGCATAAACTCAAGGTAATGACAAACTATGGCTTTTATTTTGGTAGCTATTACGTGAGAAGTAAAATCATGTTGCTCCCTGAAACAACAGCCCCTATTGTGATGTGGTGTTAAATGTTTCAGATTAAAAATGGCTTGGATCCAGACTAAATAGTGCTTTCATCCCATTGAAATCAACATGACAAGTTAGTAGTGACTGATGGATGTCCCACTGTTGCTAATGATTGGCTAAAGGCAGCAATCCTTTGCTTCCTTACTTTTAGATGAATCCCCTTAATGCACCTCTGAATTAAATATGTATAAGACAAATTTTATATAGCTGTGTGGAGGGGTAATGGGAGCTTAATGGTTACATTCACACATTTGATAGCGAATATACACTAAATGTCCCTATTTCCTGATTAATATATAATAGTAATATACAGAATATTCCCATCCTCTGTGAAACAGAGCATTTCAGTCAATTGAGATACATGTTGAAAAGATTTGTCAAGTGCTGTGAAAATGTATTTGCTTCACTGAAAGTGTAAAGACCGTTTGTGGCCTTTGAATAAAAAAATTGGATAAAAAAACCCTTTGAGTCCCCCCAGGGGTGAGAAAGGTGGTATATAAATACTGTAAATAATAAATAAATAAATTTTCTGGGAAAGAATATTATATTTTATATTAATGAAAACAGTGCTTTGTGAAAACAGTATCTTTTGTGTTGTCAAAGGATTTCATGACCGAAATCACTGGGTTGCTGTGAGTTTTCCGGGCTGTAAGGCCTTGTTCCAGAGGCATTCTCTCCTGACGTTTTACCCACGTCTATGGCAGGCATCCTCACTTGCCTCAAGCAGACAAGAGTTCTTTCTCCCACCCTGGACATTCCACAGATATATAAACCGCACTTACCTAGTTTCCAACAGACCTCACAACCTCAGAGGATACCTGCCATAGATGTAGGCGAAACGTCAGGAGAGAATGCTTCTGGAACATGGCCATATATCCCAGAACAGTATCTTTTGTGTTAACCAGTCAATTTGTGCAAATGAAACTTTCACAAAAAAAAAATAGTGGGGAATGAAAGATCATTTTCCTGTATGCATAAGAACTGTTCTTAAATATGGACAAAACTTTGGAAATGTTTCATTTTCATGTCTAGTTAGGAGTTGTAGAATCATAGAACTGGAAGAGACCACATGGGCCATCCAATCCAACCCCCTTCCGCCATGCAGGAAAAGCACAATCAAAGCAACCCCAACAGATGGCCATCCAGGCTCTGCTTAAAAGCCTCCAAAGAAGGAGCCTCCGCCAGAGTCTGAGGCAGAGAGTTCCACTGCTAAACACCTCTCACAGTTAGGAAGTTCTTCCTAATGTTCAGGTAGAATCTCCTTACCTGTAATTTTAACCCAGTCCTCTAAGTCTTAGTCTCCAGGGCAGCAGAAAACAAGCCTGCTTCTTCTTCCTTCTGACATCCTTTCAGAATAAAAGAACACATCCCCAATAAACACACCATTGTCAATTTCTTGATTACATTGTATATGTTCTTCATTATATTCAAGAAATATGCTCTTGGTTGTTGCGTAGTTTGCCTTGCAATTATGATTAGGGTTTGTGCTGATAAGATCCCCGTACAGCTAACATGTATCCACAATATCCCAATAACAGGAACCAAAGAAAATACTATAGTACAAACTTTGATGGCCCTTGTGGTCTTTCCAACGCTATAATTCTATTAACTTTTTATGATTATGATTCTACAAGGTGAATCAGACACTATTGGCTTCTTGCAAATTGCCTTTATACTTTAAATGTTTTAATTGTTTATTATTATTATTATTATTATTATTATTATTATTAGATCTCTTAGTAAATGTGTCTTAAATGTTTTGTTTATATATTTAAATTTCTAATTTTGTTATTCTTGTTCTATAAGTACACCTTGATGTTGTTTATTTTATTGTTTATGATTTGATCTGTTTGTTATGTTATGTCGGCATTGAATGTTTGCCTTTTCTTTTCTTTTTTTCTTTTTTCTTTTTTGCTGTAAACTACCCTGAGTCGCTTCAGGGAGATAGGGCAAGATTAAAATAAAGTTTATTATTATTATTGTCAGGAGAATGCATGTCTGTGTCTGTACTAGCAACACTTGGCCTTCCACCTTTTTTGTGGATTTTATTATTCATGGATTTGATAATAATGCTCTCTCTAGGCATCTTTAGATCAGTATGACTACAGTTAATTATTTATTATTTATTGGTGTCGAGGAACCTAGAGACTTCTAGAGAGAACACCATTTTTTTTAAACTGTAGGGATTTCTCTTTCCTCCCTTGTTTCTCTGCTTTTTTTTGGTATGTATGTATTTCAAATATACAAGGAAAAAGTGTGAATTCAAGAAACAATGGGAGACAAAGGGGACAAAAAAATAGGAAGGAAACAAGGAACACTGGTGCAGGTAACTCCTGTTTGATCTTTTAAAAAAGCCAGATTATGACTCATCAGAAGACTGGCGCTCATGCTGACCATGCATGTACTTTGCATTCAAAGTGTTCCAAGTTCAGTCTTTGGTATTTCCAAAAAGGGCTGCAAAATCCTCCTGCCTCCAGTCCCTGGAGAGCTAGAGGCATTATGTGTAGCCATTACTGAGATAGTAGCCCAATTCAGTATAGTATTTTTTTGTTTTGGTAATCGACTGAACATATTTTCTTCTGTGCTTGACATTATTGTCCACTGCAGGTGCCTAAGGAGCTATACAGTATATTTTTAAAATCATAATTAAATATTAATACAGCAGCATTTATTTATTTATCGTGTCAGAAGTGAATTGAGGGTGCAGTTATAATGTATTTAAAAACACAAACAAAGTTTTTAAAACTTGGCATTTTATTAAATGTCCTTTGACCAGAAGCTAGCCATTTGGAGTGCCTCTGGTGTTGCTATGAGAAGGTCCTCCATTGTGCATATGGCAGGGTGCATTATAGTAGGTGGTCTGTGGTTTGCTCTTCTCCACACTTGCATGTGGTGGACTCCTCTTTGTAGCCCCATTTCTTAAGGTTAGCTCTGCATCTCGTGTTCCCAAAGCGCAGCCTGTTCAGCGCTTTCCAGGTTGAGCAGTGTTCTTTGTGCCCAGGAGGGACTCTCAGCAAAGAAGCATAGATTTACTAAAAGCTACAGACAATGAACAGGAAGAATATTTATTTATTTATATCTCGCCCTTCTCCCCACAAGGGGGACTCAGCGCAGCCTCACATGAGCATCAGAGGATGCTAACAGCATAAATACCATAAAAATTACAATTCACAATAAAATCATTGTAAAACATTATACAATATCATCAATAAAATTTAACAATAAATTAATAGATTAACGTGCCAGTAAAACCAAGTCAAGTCATGAGAATCCATGTCGCAAAATCCAACAGCAAATGGCTGTAAATCAGGATATCTTTGAACAGGCAGAGAAATCTGATGTGTTTGGGCATGTTCATTCTTCTATACAGCCATTAAATCTACAGGAGTCTCCTCCAGTTTTCGGTCTGACAACTTTAAAAGGTTCTAATCTCTGCCATTTTTATTTTTTAGAGTTTTGAAAGACTTCTTGTTTAGACTTAGTTATGTAAAGCAAGCATTCCCTGATAATGAATTATTCTCTCTGCAGAAAGGCTGCGGCTACCACTTGGACCTTCTCATGGTGGGCATCATGCTTGGTGTGTGTTCGGTTATGGGTTTGCCATGGTTTGTTGCTGCCACTGTCCTTTCTATCAGTCATGTGAACAGTCTCAAAGAAGAGTCTTCCGTGGCAGCTCCTGGAGAGCAACCCAAATTCCTGGGCATACGGGAACAGAGGGCAACTGGACTCCTGATCTTTGTATTAATGGGCCTCTCCGTTTTCATCACTAGTGCGTTAAAGGTAAATCCAGAAAGAAACATCCAAGAGCATATGAAGACGATAACTGGTCTTGATTGTTTCTCTCTTTTTTTGGCACAGGCCTGTAAATACATGGGATGGCATTAAGTTGAGTACACTGTCTCAAACTACAAGAAAGGAGATTCCATCTGAACATCAGGAAGAACTTCCTGACTGTGAGAGCCGTTCAGCAGTGGAACTCTCTGCCCCAGGGTGTGGTGGAGGCTCCTTCTTTGGAAGCTTTTAAACAAAGTCTGGATGACCATCTGTCAGGGGTGCTTTGAATGCAATATTCCTGCCTCTTGGCAGGTGGTTGGACTGGATGGCCCATGAGGTCTCTTCCAACACTATGATTCTAGGACTTAGGGGACCACAGTCTACAGTGGTAGAGGAAAAGCTGTGACTTTTGTAAAAAAAATTATGTTAGACTTATTCCCTTTAAAGTGATGTTCCCCAAATCATTAATATCTGGAATATATCCTCCCCATCGTTAACCTTGGAGCTATAAGTTCCTCCTGTACTCTCAAAGATGGGTTGAGGCCCTTTCTACACTGCCATATAGTCCAGATTATCCCCATTAACTGCCCTGAACTGGATTATATGAGACTACAGGCCATATAATCAATTTTAAAGCAGATGATCTGGGTTTTGTAAGATAGTTTAGAAGGGGACACATTCAGCCCTCCATATCCATGGATTCAACCACAAACAGCTTGAAAATACTGTCCAAGAAGAAAACCTTGATTTAGCCATTTTATGTAAGGGGCACCATTTTACTACACTATTGTACAGGCAGTCTCTGAGTTACAAACATCCAACTTACAAATAACTCATAGTTAAAAACAGGGTGAGACATCAGGAAGTGAGAAAAATCTACCCCGAGGAAGGGAAATTCACTCCTGGAAGAGTTATCATGGAGGGAAAAGTGTCTCAACTGAAGCTTTATCAGCAATCCTTGTTTCCACAACAAGCCAATTTTGTCAAAATCCAATTATCACGGGGATTGAAAGTGAGGTGAAACCTTCTGAACAGGGACAAAGACTGCAAAACAAACACCAAAGGAGTGTTAACCCTTCTCTATGCTAGCCAAAGCTAAAAATATATGTTTTTGGCTGGAGTTTCACTTAAAAATGTACCTGTTCTGACTTACATACAAATTCAACTTAAGAACAAACCTACATAACCTATCTTGTTTGTAACTTGGGAACTGCCTGTATATAATATGACTTGAGCATTCATGGATTTTGGTATCCTTGGGACGTCTTGGAACGAAACCCCAGCAGATCCCAAGGGCCCACTGCATATGAATTATGCTGTGTGAATTATGTCAAAGATTGAAGCACACCCAATTTATGACATGATCCGTGTGGATCCACATTAAATTTTTTGCAGTCCAAACTCTCCCAGTGGGTTTCTACAGTCAAGTGACGGTGGGAACTCTTCTTCTCATAGTCCTAGGATGCATCTACACCAGTAGTTCTCTACCTGAGGGTCCCCAGATGTTTTGGCCTTCAACTCCCAGAAATCCTAACCGCTGGTAAACTGGCTAGGATTTTTGAGAGTTGGAGGCCAAAACACCTGGAGACCCACAGGCCAAGAACTACTGATCTGCACTGTAGAATTGATGCATTTTTACGCCACTTTAACTGCAATGGTTCAAGGCTGTGGAGTCCTGGGAAGTTGTTTGGCAAGGCACACACATTCTTTTACAAAGAAGATAAAAGGAATTGTAAAATTGCCATCCCCAAATTATAAGCTTACTGTCTCTTGACATGTTTATGCTTCCTCTTTCCAGTTTATACCCATGCCTGTCCTCTATGGAGTGTTCCTGTACATGGGTGTTTCTTCTCTGAGAGGAATTCAGGTATGTGTTCAGGTTTTATAACCTCAAACAGATCAGAATAAATGAGATTTGTTAGTTATGTTCAAGTGTAAAGGCCAAACAAATTACACTAAAGGGTGGGTCCTGCAAAGTGCCCAGTACTTCAGGGGTAATGCCCTTAGATACTCCAGTACAAGCTTGGCTAGTTTTCTTAGAGACAGTCTTTGTAGGTAGGGACCCTGGCACAACTCCAACCCCTTCTACAGTGCCATATAATCCAGATGACCAAAGCGGATAATCCACATTATCTGCTTTGAACAGGATTATATGAGCCTACACTACCATATAATCCAGTTCAAATTAGATAATCATAGTCCTAGGATGGATTTTATATGGTAGTTTAGAAGTGGCCTCATAGAGTTAAGAGGGTACATAAGAGACAGGGTTCCTTTCCCGTTAATGGTTGTGTGGTGGACTTCAGAACCCACATCAGTTTTAAGATAGAGAAAGATATCTAAGATATCTAAGATATTTTCAGCATCTTAGATCAGCTATGGTAAAAAGAATACAGGGGTTAAGTTACAGCAAAGTGCCAGTTGCCCTGCCCCCTTGGTGCAACCTCTAGGAGCCCTACTCCAAGCCTCAGAACTCCTGTCTCCAGCCTTTCACAGGGGCCCCAACTCTCACCACTTGGACCCCTGCCCTCCAAGGCCATTCCCAGAAGCTCCAAACTTTCTAGCCTTCTTGTTCCCTTTCCCAGCCTTGTATTTGCTTCCCTCCATGACCTTCCCGGGGGCCCCAACGTGTGGATCACAGGGCACTTGCCACTATGTAGCCCTCCCAGGGTCACAAACAATTCAAAGTGCTGGTTTTGACCTATAAAGCTCTATACATTTCTGGCCCAGCTTACTTGTCTGAACGCATCCACCCCTACATCCCACCTCGTAATCTAAGATCATCCGAGGAGGCTCTGCTCTCGCTCCCGTCAACAGCACAGATGCATCTGGCGGGGACGAGAGACAGGGCCTTCTCAGCTGTGGCCCCTCCCCTATGGAACAAACTCCCTCCTGGCTTTTAGAAAAATATTAAAATCATGGTTTTGGGACCAGGCCTTCGGGCAGTAGAAGTAAATGTATGCAGCATTTCAGAAAGACAATGACTGGAACGGCGATTCGACGGACGAGACTGTTTTAATCATAGTTTTATTGCTTGTGGATGTACTGTTTTTAAATTGATTTATGTCTAATTGTAGTGTATAACTGTAATTGTTTGTACTGGCATTGAATTTTGCCATTACTTATGTGTAAACTGCTTTGAGTCCCCCTCAGGGTGAGAAAAGCAGTATACAAATACTGTAAATAAATAAATAAATAAGCCTCCTAGGCCCCGTGGCCTCTTATCTTCTATAGCATTTCCCTGAGGCTCCCTGCCCCTTGGGCCTTTCGCAGAAGATGTAATCCCCGGTAACCCTTTCTAGTGGCCTTAGCTTTCTCAGGCCCTTGGACTCCTAATCCCACATAAATGTTCCAGTGGATCCCAACCCCTTTTGCTCCTTTTCTCTAATATATACCTTTCCCAAAAAGTGTGTTCTCTTCTCTAATCCATTCTTCCCAGTTCTTTGATCGCTTGAAGCTCATTGGAATGCCAACCAAACACCAACCGGATTTTATCTACCTGCGGCATGTTCCCTTGAGGAAAGTGCACCTCTTCACAGCAATCCAGTTGACTTGCCTTATCATTCTCTGGGTCATCAAGGCCTCCCCTGCTGCTGTTATCTTTCCTATGATGGTAAGAATGCTGAATGTGGGACAGGTCATAGCTGTCCTGTGGACATGTTACCTTTCCAGATCGTATAAAATAAATATAATAATCATGATTTGCCATTTTAACAGTACATTTTAACAGTACATCCTCACTACCTCTGAGGAAGCTTGCCATAGATGCAGGCGAAATGACAGGAGAAATGCCCCTAGAACATGGCTCTATAGCCCGAAAAAACCCACAAGAACCTAGTGATTCCAGCCATGAAAGCCTTCGACAATACACAGTACATGATGATCTCAGTGATTTCTCTAAGGGCACAGGGTTATGGTCTTATGGCAAGCTGCCCCAAATAGTTCTTATAGCCTAAGATTTATATTTATTTCCACAGAACCTAAAAACATTCGGGGGTTTTTTGGATCACAGGGCAAAGCATTCTGTGAATTTCAGTCCAAAAGTAATATTTTCAATTTCTGCCTGTTTCACATAAGCCAAGGGGCAGAGTGGATGGCAAACAGATATGCTAGAAGATGGGGGGCTGCTTTTTTTACTGTTTTGGCAAAGGAAGGGTAGTGAACTGGGAGATTCTCACCTTCCTTCTTACCACCTTCGCTCTGGCTCCCTAATAGAAATTGCTTTTTTTGCTCTTCCCTCTCTAAATTTTAATATGCATTCCCATTCTTTACCCTCATTGGTATTCCTTTCCCCATTTGTATTTGTTTAGGTGTAGACATTTTAAGATCAGCAAAACAATTCATCCCATTGCAACTCTTCAAATAAACAAACCCACTCCTTTACTTTGGCCCCTTCTACACTGCCATACAAAATCCAGATTAATTATCCGATTTGAACTGGATTATATGGCAGTGTGGACTCATATAATCCAATTCAAAGCAGATAATCTGGATTATCTGCTTTGAAAATCTGGATTATTTGGCAGCATAGAAGGGGCCTTTAGCTCTTTCCTAAGTATGCTCCCTTTATGCTTTTATTAAAAGGAGAGGGATGTATTTGTGGCGGAATGAAAATCACACATAGTTCACATCTTTACCAATCCACACACTATCTTGCTAGAGAAAAAATTTGCCACACAGATAATGAGTAAAGAATAAGGTGTTTACTCTTTGTTATGTAGAACAACATATATACAGTCATGTGAACAGTTGCATTGAGTCATTCAATGTCCTTTGAGAAAGATTAAAATGTTCCTTGGGTGTTCATGTGGAGGATCTTCTTCCAGCAGCCCAGAAGCAGAAAATACTAACTGCCTTGACAAGCTCCTGGACAGAGAACCTAAACATGTAACTGTTTCCAAAACTCCCAGGCTCAGCTAGCCTCTTGGGCGGGTGTGGCCCAACTAATCAGCTTCATGCTTTGCATTTTTCAGTTAATGCATGATGTTTACATGCTCTAACAGTATTTGTTTGTTACATGTCCCTAATTTGCTTGACTTCTCCACAGGTCAATTTTTTTTCTTGTGTCATAAGTAACTTGAGAACATACTGCAAGTTGCTTCTGGTGGTCGCAGGTCAAATTAAAATCCATAATTTTGGCCAAAAAAACATGCCCTGGACTTATACATCATTACACATTTTTTTATTTCCCTTTTTTTCTCTATTTGCAGAAACGTTCTTGTCCTCTTTCCCTTTCCTGTTGTTTTAAGTAGTGGTGCTGTAAATAGACTGACAGTTAGAGGGTAAACTAAGTAATCTCGCTCTGTGAAATTAGCAGAAAGTGAATGAAGGCTCCCGGGAGAAAAGAGTGAAGAAAATGGCAATTTATTTTCCATCTAGAGCTCAATATATCTCCATCAGCTTCATTTGTGTATTGTGTCTTCTGGCTAATTCTCTTTTCACAGTGTAGGCTCTTCCCACCCACCCCCTTCTTCTCATTTCTCTTCCCGCTGCAACAAGATTTTGGCTCTAGTCTTCGTCCGGAAGGTCATGGATTTCTGCTTTACAAAGCGGGAGCTCAGCTGGCTTGATGACCTCATGCCAGAGAGCAAGAAGAAAAAACTGGATGATGCAAAGAAAACGGCAGCTGAAGCAGAGGTAATTAAACATTTCCTAATTACAGAAGAATCTCGTTTATCCAACATAAATGGGCCTGCAGAACGTTGGATAAGCAAAAATGTTGGATAGTAAGGAGGGATTAAGGAAAAGCCCATTAAACGTCAAATTGCGTTATGATTTTACAAATTAAGCACCAAAACATCATATTTTACAACAAATCGACAGAAAAAGCAGTTCAATATATGGTAACGTTGTGTAGTAATTATTGTATTTACAAATTTAGCACCAAAACATTGCAATATATTGAAACAGCTGAAGATCCGGGCGGGAGGCAGACTGCATGGAATAATACAGAACGTTGGATGACCAAAGGTTGGATAAGCGAGACTCTACTGTACATAGATCATTTTTTCAAAACTTTATTGTTCTGTAGCAAAGTTAGGCACCAAGATCTGTTTGCACAATTTTATCAGATACATCCTCTGCCATCTTACTCCTAAGACTCGTCTTTAAAAAAATGTAACCCCCCTTCATCCTTTTGCGATATTGTTTCTAATTTTTCACCTCATGTGATTCTCCTTGCTTTTTCTCATTGCTAATTTGAAAGTCCCTAATTGTTCTCCTCCCTCGATCTATACAGTATCCATAGACTTTTCATGAACAATTAGGAATCCAGCCAGAGGCAATGTTCTTAGTTGTGGAGAGAGAGGATGAAAGCATGCCTACGTAGAGCCTCTTCTATAATTCAGAAGAACACCTGAAGACTGGGGGTGCATCTATTCTGTTGAATCAATGTAGTTTGGCTATTATTATTATTATTATTATTATGTTTAATTATACCCGCTTTATCTCTCCCGAAGGAGACCCAAAGTGACTTACATAATTTAAAATATACAGATATGCAAACATTAAAACAGAATTAAACATAACAGTATTTAAAACATTCACAGTTAAAACACATTGAAGCATATTCAAAGCTGAAAACCACAGCACCCCCTGAACTGCCCTTAAAAACCCTCTTCTTTAAAAGCCTCTTTGAATAAAAAGGTTTTAACTTGCTTCTGGAAGAATAACATGGAGGGCCATTCTGGCTTCTCGGGTCAGGGGATCCCAGACTCGAGAGGCAGCCACAGAGAAGGAAGGCCCCCTCTCTCATTCCCACCATCTGGGCTTGAGATAGAGGTAGGACCGAGAGAAGGGCCTCTCAGGGCCCAGGAAGGTTCATACAAGGGGATGTGGTCAGCCAAATAGCCAGGACCTGAACCGGCTAGAGCTTTATAGATCATAACCAGCACTTTGAATTGTGCCCAGAAATAGGCTGGCAGCCAGTGGAGCTGCTGCAGCAGGGGGTTGTCCACTTCCTTCAGCCAGCCCCAGTGAGCAACCTTGATGCAGCTCTTTGGACCAGTTTCCAGACACTCTTCAGAGGCAGCCCCACATAGAGCACATTACAATAATCCAGATGCAATGTTGCTAAGGCATGTACCACTATAGCCAGATCTAGCTTCTCAAGGAACGGGTGCAGTTGATGCACAAGTTTTAATTGTGCAAATTGTGCCTCCGCTGATACCTGGGCTTCCAGGTTCAATTCTGAGACTAGGAGGACCCCCAAATTGCGGACCTGTGTCTTCAGAGGGAGTGTAACCTCCACCCAGAATGAGGGACAAAACAAAACCCTGAGGAACCCCACAGGTCAATGGTCAGGGGTTTGAACAGGAGTCCCCCAGCACCACCTTCTGGATATGACTCTCCAGGAAGGACCGGAGCCCTCACAGTCCCATCCCAGCAAGATGACCCAGAAGGATCCCATGGTCAATGGTATAGAAAGCTGCTGAGAAATCCAGGAGAACCAACAGGGACACACTCCCTCCGTTTAGCTCTCTTTGTAGGTCATCCACCAAGGTGACCAAAGCTGTCTCTGTTCTATAGCCAGAGCTGAAACCAAACTGAAATGGATCTAGGTAATCTGTTTCATCCAAAAATCCCTGGAGTTGAGAAGCTACCACACATTCCCAAGACTTTGTTTAAAAAGGGGAAGTTGGACACTGGCCAATAGTTGTCCATTATGTAGGGGTTCAGAGATATTTTTTTTAAATGTAGTCTCACAACTGCCTCCTTAAGGCAAGTTGGAATTCTGCCTTGTTCCAAGAAGACATTGACCACCACCTTCACCTTCTCTGGCCTGTTTGATCAGCTAGGATACATATGGTAGCTCTAATCTCTCCAAGGATCCTGTCCATCCTCAGGCTGCACAAGTTGAAACGTATCCATCAACACTGGACAAGCAGGAACCAGAATTACATCAACTGGAACTGTGTCGATAATTGCATCCAAGTTGGAACGGATCTGAGCTACTTTATCTGCAAAGTGCCATGCAAATTCTTCACAATGAGCTACTGAATGGTCAGGGATTTCTCCTTGAGAACTGGTATGTAATAGCCCTCTGACCACTCGAAACAGCTCAGCTGGACGATTCCTTACAGATGCCATGGAACGATTTTTCTGCTGCATCCATTGCCGCAGAGTGGGTTTTAAAATACGCTGTAGTCCAGTAGTCCAGTAACAAGTACCAGGGGATGGGTAACAACATGGATGGTAGATGTAAACACACTGTCAACAGAATTTACCCAAAATTCTTAAAGTGCAGGCGAGCAATTGTATCAGTATACAGGATGGTATAGATTGTTATTAAAGTGCAATGGCTTTGTCAAGTTGATTCTAAAGTGCTAGAGTAAAGTGTGTCATGGAGGAATTTATACTTCAATGCTAGAAGGTTAAGCCGGAGGTTAAAGTGCTAAAGCTGAACAGGTTAACAGACCCAATCGATACCAAGGTAGTAGAATTAGTTAAAGTGCTGGTAAATTAAAGTGCTGGAGTAATGCAATTAGCAGCACTGTTCAGTTTATTGGTAGTGCAATGATTAGTTCTTAGATTCTCAGTTCAGTCATTGAATATAGTCGTTGTTATTGTTACAGTTTCAACCCCCCTTCCGATAGTTAAAGTTACAGCCCCAAAAGATGTAATACGGAGCTGCCGGGGGTGGGCAGGCAATTGGCAACGTAGTTCAGGTAACCAGATGGCCAGCACGATTCTTCCAGAGTTAAATTTAACAAGATAGTCGACACAAAGCGAAATAAAAGATGGTCAGCACAATCAGGATAGTCAACACAATCTGGGATGGTCAACACAGAACGAGATAAAAGATGGTCTGCACAGTTCTTCTGGAATTGGACTAACGAGACGGTCAACACAAAAACGGGACACAAGATGGCCAACTCAGTCCCTTCCGGAGTTGGAAAATGACCGATGCGATGATGGGCGTCTCGTGTGATGGTGGCGGATAAGCCAATGTTCCTGAATGATGAGCGCCACACGATGGGGCAAGGTAACAGTTGCCAAGCTAAGCCGCGATGAGAAGCCAGCCCTCCTTAGGCCAGGGTCGACGAGGAGCGCGGGACAACGAGGAACGCCGGTCCCCGGGATCGAGAGCCAGCGCCGGGGAAGCCAAACGGGGGGCCAGCCAAGCGGCAGGGCGGGCCGAGCAGCCGGGGCTAGCACGATGGAAAGCTAGCCTTCCTTGCGTCGGGAGGCACTGAGGGATCACAAGGGCGCTGGGACGCCGGAATAGCAGGCTGTCAGCTGGAAACAGTGGGGCGTCAGCTGGAATCGGGCCGAGGAGCAGGCTCGCGTCGGCAACAATGGCAGCCCTGTGAGGCCTTCTCTCCGCGCCCTTTCTACGCGGCCCTGTGAGGCTTCTCTCCCGGTCCTTGGCGGTTCTCTCCCCCACAACCGCTGCGGAGGCCACGGCGGCTTCTGCGGCTTCGGCTGCAGCACAGGTTGCGCACGCACTGCAGGCCCTACAGGCACCCACAGGGACTAGCAGCGGCGGCGCAGCTGTCAGGCAAGGCCGCAAAGCAAGGCCGCAAAGCAAGGCCGCAAAGCAACTCACTGGATAGTCAACAATCAAGCCGTAGCTCAGCGGTATGGCGGTGGACTGGCGCGTCCTCGATTCCGGGCCTGGGATGGCCGGCCCGCGCCCCCAACCCAAGCCAAGCAAGAATGGAGACAGAAGGACGGCACCGGTCTTCCTCCCAAGCGGCCACAATCCCGTCGGTAGCGTTGGAGCTGGTAAGCAGAGGCCGTGGATGCAGCTCAGGGGAATGAGGAGGGAGCGTGCTTGTAAACCCGCAATGGCGGCGAGCCAGCCGCTCTACCTCTTTCTTCTCGGAACCTTTTCCGGCTCTCCCTTGCCAACGCTCCTCCAATTCGACTCACCAAGGCCACCTTCATGACCCTGGTTTGACAATTGGTGAGGAGCGGGTTTCAAGGCTTCGGATGGCAATGTTTAGGTTGATTAAATCGGGTTTTTTAATGCTTCCCTACTGGAGCTGAGGTTCGCTGCTGCTACCACGCCGCCATCATACCGGAAGCCCGGAGTAGCAGCCAATAGTGAAAGGACCAAGGCAGAGACATCTCCAGCTCATCCCGTTTGGGTATCAGCCAGCACGCCAATGACTTAAATCTAGACATAGTTTTCTAAGATCTACAGAGACACTCGCTGGAACACCTCAGCAAGCAAGAGTCCAAAAGTGGCAGGCTCAAACCCAGAACCTCAACCAATGGCTGATACCAAATGAGAGACTCCCCCCTGGGCACACAGAGGACTGGGTGACTTGGAAGGCGCTGAACAGACTGCGCTCTGGCACCACGAGATGCAGAGCCAACCTTCAGAAATGGGGCTACAAAGTGGAATCCTCGACATGCGAGTGTGGAGAAGAGCAAACCACTGACCACCTGCTGCAATGCAACCTGAGCCCTGCCACATGCACAATGGAGGACCTTCTTGCAGCAACACCAGAAGCACTCCAAGTAGCCAGATACTGGTCAAAGGACATTTAATCAACTACCAAACTCACAATTTTGTATTTTCTCTGTTTGTTTGCTTTGTTCTGTTAGAAATGTAATATAATTTGACTGGTTGTCCTGACACGACAAATAAATACATTCCTTCCTCTGAAATATAGCCCATAGTACCTGATATTCATGGGCAGGCCACTTCCAAGTTCTAACCAGGGCTGACCGTGCTTAGCTTCCAGGTCAGGTAAGCCCTCCAAAATGTGTATCCATGATAAATAGGCTCACACTGTACTGGAATATACAAACTCATTAACTGGAGAAACAGGCTTAAGATCAAATAATGGTGAATGTGGGTGTGTAATGGAAAGATGGGGACTAATTATGATTTCTAAATTTTACAATCAACATGTTAAACTGAATATATCCTGGACAAAAAACACAAATGCATCATTTATGTTGTTAAATTGACATTAATGTAATCAACTAGTAGATTGCACAGGTAGAGGAAATTCTATCCATGTCTGATTCCGCTTTTGGTTCATCACACAATATGTAAGAACAATATCCAGTACTTGTATATCCATTATTTAAACACATTAAGAGTAAAAATAGTAAGCCTAAAGTTCATTCTTGTATTTTTCTTATTTATGGAAGTAATGAAATATGCCTCATGGATATAACAAAAGTTCATTATATTTATTGCAGACACAAGTGTGAATATCTGATAGGTTTTTAAACAAAAATCACATCCAAAGATTTCTAAAATTGCAAGTACGACCATTAGCATTAGCTCAGACATCAAATCCTTGATTACGTATAATGAAATGTACAGAAGGGAATGATTATATTTTAAAATGTGATTCCAAGCCAAACACAGTGATTGCTGCAAAGTGATGTTCTCTTTTCCAGTAAATAAGATATAGATCTTGCAAAAACAAATGCCACGTTCAACATTATTCACCCCATTTGTTACCAATCCGTTATTTTTGGTTCCATGGTTCATATATTAATAAAGAGAACAGTGTATTACTTTGCTGTATCTAAGAAATGACTTATGATATGTTATATAGGATGCTGGGCAGATGACAGAACATAACCAACATACTGTAATTGAAATACCAGTGATGAAAAACGGTTATCCAACTACATCATGCAGTGAAGCATCTACATCACAGAATATTTCACCAAATAAAATCAGGTAAAAATTCCATAAGGAGGTCTTGTTTGGGAAAGTGTCTTTTTTTCCTTTGTTTCTATCCTGCCTTTCTCCATTGAGTTTAACTTGGTATACATTAGTGCTACCCAAAATAGTGGTCCCTGGACTAGTGTCACTTTTAAGATACTATCTCCCAATCTCTGACATGTTTACAGGGGGGAAAGATACAATTACATTCAATGAGCATAAATTCAGTACAGGCATATTGGAAAAGAATGATTGACAGTCCCCCACATCTGTTTGCAGGAGTTCAAACTGAGGCTTGATCTCCATTGCCATATTATCCAGATTATCAAAGCACATTAATCTAATTTGAACCGGATTATATGAGTTTACACTGCCATATAATCCAGTTCAACACAGGTAATTTGGATTTTATATGGCACTGTAGAAGGGGCCTCAGAAAAGGACTGGCCTAAGATCACTCCATGAATTTTATTGTGATCTGAAACCTGGATCTCCCAAATCGCAGCCCAAATTGTAACCACTAGACCCCATTGGCTCTCTGGAGTATTTCTTCTGCAGTTAAGTGCTGCTGTAATTTTTTGGTGTCTCTCAAGCTTCTGCGGGTATCATATTTTCCTTTGATAATGCATACTAACTTTAGTTCATACAAATATTATTTAATCAATATAAATAAAAATGTAATGTGTGTTTGTGGGATTAATATAACTCAAAAACCACTGGATGAATTGAGACCAAATTTGGACTCAATACACGTATCAGGCCAACAAGTCACCATCACTCTCAAAAACACTGAAAAACACAGCAGGAGAGACTTAAACAGCAAATAAACAAAAAATGCATTACAATGCATGAGCAAAACCACATGACTAGGACGGTTTTAAATGGTGTTTTAATATTTTGATAAATGTTTTTTTAATGTTTATGTATTGTATGTGAATTTGTGTCCCAGCATTGAATGTTTGCCGTGTATATGCTGTGCTCCGCCCTGAGTTCCCTTCACCCATTTGATGTAGCACTTGGGAGCTTGCATGGCAGTGGAGCAGACAATTGCCCTGGGTTTGCTAACTCAGACTTTAAAAGAATTATTCAAAGTGCTGAATGCTAATCTCAAAATAAACTCAACAGTTTAGACCAGGCCTGCACAGCTTGTGGCCCTCCAGACCTTTTGGACTTCAGCTCTCAGAATTCCTGACCATTGAACAAGCTGTCTAGCGCTTCTAGGAGTTCGCATCCCAAACATTTGCAGAGCTGCAGATTAAGCACACCTGGTTTAGATGGCTGTATTCAGACTAGGGGTACATTTACACTATGGGCTTATTCCAATTTGACACCACTTTAACTGCATTGGCTCAATGCAATGGAATTCTGAGAGTTTTAGTTTGACAAAATATTTCATCTTCTCTGCCCAAGAGTCTTGGTGCATTACCAAATGATAACTCTTATGATTCTACAGAATAATAATAATAATAATAATAATAATAATAATAATAATAACAACTTTATTTATATTCTGCCCCTATCTCCCCAGGGGGACTCAGGGCAGATTCCAACATACAATGGCAAACATAAAACAAAGAAGTACCAACATTACAATCCCAGAAAAACCCCAGATATGAAAACATTCAAACCTAACATCAGTAAATTAAACAAAATATAATCAAACAAAATTATATAAAGACATAAAATCTGAACATAAGACATTCACATTAATTTACAGAAGCCAACTATCGTTCACAAAATTGTGTGGGTTGGTTTTGTGGCCAGAGTGGTTGTATGGCCAATGATAGTAACTGGGCTAACATGGACTAGCAAAGCCCAAGTACAAGATAGTTCTCCACCAGAAGTCTGATAGTGATCCCTCATTGTCTAATCCCACTTCTCTCGATATGCTGGAGAGAAAAGGTGAGTCTTCAGTTGTTTTTTGAAGGAGAGGAAGGCGGGGGGCAGCTTTATTTCTTTAGGAAAGGAGTTCCAGAGGGGGGGGGCAACCATAGAGAAGGCCCTATCTCTCTTTCCCACCAGTAGTGCTTGAGAAAGGGGTGGGACTGAGAGCAGGGCCTCCTCTGCTGATTGCAGTGCCTGAGCTGGTTTGTAAGAGGAGATGCGATCGGTTAAGTGTCCTGGAATTGAACTATGTCCATTAAAGGGTGTCAAAACTGCATTAATTCTACAGTGTAGATCCACCCTAAAACTCAGAATGGATTCCCTGCTCAACTGATTAGAAAGCACCCAGCTGCCACTGCAGAGAACCATGAATTTAGTTCTGAAAGTCACTGGAAGCTTAACTACAAAACTTTATGCAGTGTTTATTATCCTGTAATATAATGTCTAACTAAGATGTTAATTGCAGGCCTGATCCTGCCGACATCAACATATCTGATGAAATGCCTAAAACAACTGTGTGGAAAGCCCTCACCATGAACACTGAAAAGCTCTAATTCCAAAAGTGAAAAAGGTATGAGAATCCACTATTGCAGAACAGGAAGGCACAAGCTTATGTTCACTTATGCAACTCACCATGTCCAGTCATCAAACAATAATTTATTTTTTAAACCATGGGGGAATAAATATTTTTTAAACAGTATACCTAAGAGGTTATGCTTCTGCATCCATGTGGTTGTGCCATGCATCTAACAGGTGTGCACAGAGCATAATCGAGTGTATTTATGTGTCTATCTATCTATCTATCTATCTATCTATCTATCTATCTATCTATCTATCTACACATACACGAAAAGTTCTATGCTTTCTACAGTCTGTTGCAATCCCACCTGCTGCTTGTAAAAGAAAAGCTACCATTGGGTAATAGCAAGAGACTCGGGTCTCGGTTCTGTTTTGCATTCTAGTTTCCCAGAGGAGAGGATCAGAATCCAAAATGACCTGAACAGATTAGAGAGCTTGGTCAAAACCAAGAAAATGAATTTCCAGAGGGAGAAATATGTGGTATTACACTTCAGCAATAAAAAACAAAACACACAGATACAGGATGGGTGGTGCCTGGCTTGAAAACAGTACATTTCCAACTCTATGATTCTGTTATTCTATGTGAAAGGGATCTAGGAGTCTTAGTAGACCAAAGGCTGAACATGGCTCAACAGTGTGATGTGGCAGCTAAAAAAAAACCCAGTGCGATTCTAAGCTGCATCAAAAGTAGTATAGTGTTAAGATCAAGGGAAATCGTGGTGTACCTCTATTCTGCTTTGATCAGACCTCACCTAGAATCCTGGAGCCCCGGTGGCGCAGTGGATTAAATCCCTGTGCCAGCAGGACTGAAGACCGACAGGTCGCAGGTTCGAATCCGGGGAGAGGCGGATGAGCTCTCCCTCTATCAGCTCCAGCTCCTCATGCGTGGACATGAGGGAAGCCTCCCACAAGGATGATAAAAACATCAAATCATCCAGGCATCCCCTGGGCAACGTCCTTGCAGACGGCCAATTCTCTCACACCAGAAGCGACTTGCAGTTTATCAAGTCGCTCCTGACACAACAAAAAAACAACAAAAAACCTAGACTCCTGTGTTCAGTTCAGTTCCCCATTATTCAAGAACATTATTGACAAGTTGGAATGTGTCCAGATGAAGGAAACCCAAATAATTAAAGGTTTGGAACCAAGCCCTATTAGGAATGGTTGAGGGAGCTGGATGTGTTAAGCCTGCAGTAGAGAAGGTTAAAAAGAGACATGATAGTCATGTTCAAGGATGTCATATTGAGGAGGGGGCAAGTTTATGCCCTGTTGTTCTGCAGACTAGGAAATGGAGCAATGTATTCAAATTTCAGGGAAAAATATTCCACCTAAGCATTAGGAAGAACTTCCTGATGGTAAGAGCTGTTCAGCAGTGGAATGTGCTGCCTCAGATCATGATGGAATCTTTTTAAGCAGAGCCTGCATGACCATCTATTGTAGTGGTTCTCAACCTGTGGATCCTCAGATGTATTTGGCCTCCAACTCCCAGAAATCCCAGCCAGTTTACCAGCTGTTAGGATTTCTGGGAGTTGAAGGCCAAAACATCTGGGGACCCACAGGTTGAGACCCACTGATCTATTGGGAGGGCTTTGATTGTGTGTTCCTGCATGGCAGAAAGGGGTTGGACTGGATGGCCCTTGTGGTCTCCTCTAGCTCTATGATTGTATCCATCCAAAGGGTTATAACCACTTTAAAGTTTACCATTTTGGACATATTTCACCTGTTCTGAGATTTTATGGGGAATTAGTCCAACGTGAAGGATGGAGAGGAAGTACCCTTGATGTGTGCCTTCAGGATGCTCAGAGCCTGTCTATCACTAACGGGATGCCTTTGTCTGCAGCTTTGCCATTCAGGTCTCTCGGCTTTGGACGAGGTGAAGCAGCACATGAAGATGACTCAGGGAAGAGCCAATATGCGCAGGCAAGGGAAGAAGGATACTTTTGCAATGAAGGAGGGAGCAAACAAATAAACTGCTCGGATACTTACTTCATACAAGTAGCTGGGTTCATATTAAAGCCATTCAGAAGTGTTTGATTATCCTTTGTGTGCTTTAGTGGGCATTCTAACTATTTACAGACCAGCAAATCAAGACGCACATGCAGTCAATGATAGTTCAGTGTTAAAGCCAGTGTGTGTGTATGTGTGTACACGTGTGGATGCACACATGTGTGCATTTCCTGTGTTCTGGTTTCTTAGCTGTAGAGGGATCGCTGCCCTTGACTACTTATATTTTCCTGACTGTATGTTTATTAACAGGTTAGACTTTGAATGTATGACAGCAACAGCACTACAGCACAACAATTTGGGGGTAGTATTCTCCATATTTATTTGTTATTTCCAAGACTAGTTGTTCCGTACGGGGTTTTAGCTGAATTTTTTGCACTGATTTGTTTTATATCGTTATCACAGAAATAACTGATAGGGGATATGACACAATGTAAATATCTCCAAACAGGTGGAAGAAATGTCTCTGTGCGTTTTTATTTTCATTTTTTTTCTAAAATCAAACTGCTTATTGTTCTACTCCTTCCCATACATGTGTGATAAAATCAGAATTCATCAAAACAGTTACATGTTTCATACAAAGTCTACTTAGACGTGAGCCAATATCTTGTGTCTTTCTCTATTAAATATCTGTTCATGAGGTAGGTTAATCCAACCAAAACTTTGACTTCACCAAAGTGAGTTAACAAGGCAGGGAAGGGTGTAGGCTCAAAAGTTACAGAGACCACACAATCGTGACCTGGAGCCAAAGAAGTGGGACCCAAAAGTATTTTTAGTAGGGAGATGAATGCTGGGGGGGGGGGGGGGGGGGGGGGAATTATGTGCAGAATTATGGTCTTGGAGGAGAGGAGAAAAATGACAAGATGCAAGATGGATCCCATGGAGATTCACTTGGAAGGAAATAATTTGGTCTAGAAGACCTAGTACCTCAGTATATAAAAACCTTGTCAACAAATTTCCTGTCCACCTGAAATCAATAAAATCAAAGCCAACTGGTATACTAAACAAACTATTTGATTCTCGACAGTTCTGTTCTCTGTCATCATTTCGATTCTTTAAAAATGTGATCCTTGTGAGACTTTTCAGATCAAGAAATGTTATGTAAGTTAACTGACAAAGGATGCCAGGCTGTTTGAATACTTACAGCACAGCTTGAAAAAGCTCAGGGTGTAACTTCAAAGAGATAAACCAGTGTCTGTAAAAAATAGCAGTTTGCAGTTTGGGCCCTATGACTCACCCACTTGTATAAGTGATAAGAGAAAGAGTTGCTTTTTTCCGTGTCAGGAGCGAAGTGCGAGAGAAGTGGCCGTCTGCAAAGACGTTGCCCAGGAGATGCCCAGGTGTTTTCCCATACTGTGGGAGGCTTCTCTTGTGTCCTCATATGAGAAGCTGGAGTTGACAGATGGGAACTCACCCCACTGTGAGCACTGTGGGAGGAAGGAGGCAGTGCTTCCTAATTAGCCTGCATGTTTCGTGAGAGTGTTGTGTACGTTTCTGATAGTCCTGCTTGTTACCTTTATTTGGAGCCTTGGTTACCTTCTTAAGACACAGAGGAATTAAGACATTTGGAACAATTTGGAAAGGGAGTGTGAACTCCTGACTTTTCAGGGCTAGCCCATTATAATGTCTGCGGATTCCTAGTGCACTGCTGTGCTTTGAGGACCAAATTTTGCTTTCTCTGATTTTCACACAAGTGAATTATAAGAGATTTTCAAACTGCAACCTCTACAAGACAAGAAGTGGTTGGTAGGCTAAGGCCCCCTCCACACTGCCCTATATCCCATGATCTGGTCCCAGATTATCTGCTTTAAATTGGACTATATGAGTCTCCACTGCCAGACAACCTGGGATAAGACGATAATATAGGATCAGACCCTGGGATATAGAGGCGGTGTGGAAGACACCTAAGTGTTCTGGGACCACTTTTCCAGCCTTTCCATCTCTTGTATAGTTTTCTAAAGGTGGTCCTTAATTTCTTCCTGAAGGTTTGACAGAACTAAGTATATACTTCAATATGTTTAAATCCAGAGCATCAATTTTGGAGGACATTTTTGAAACAAAACATAGAGTATCAGCATTGTTTTGAGGCTATACACCCATTCCTTCTCTAGGGAATCCTGATAGTTTATGCTAGGAGAGTATAAGTGGATCCCATTCATATTGGTGGAAGATCTCTCCCCCCATTTCTAGGATCTTTTGCATCCTCACCAAACCACAGGAAGAAGCCATATTGCTTCAACTGGTTAAAAATGGATAAAGCTTGCAGTATATATAAACAAAAAAAAAAGGCCTCATAATAGCTTCACCTCAGGGTTATAATATATATGTTAGTAACAAGTTGAAGGTATAGAATTTTTTTTTGTCATCTCAGGAGCAACTTGAGAAACTGCAAGTCGTTTCTGGTGTGAGAGAATTGGCCGTCTGCAAGGACGTTGCCCAGGGGACTCCAGGATGTTTTGATCTTTTACCGTCCTTGTGGGAAGCTTCTCTCATGTCCCCACAAGGGGTCACCAAAGATCATCAGAAAACAGTATTTTCTGTTGCTCATGGGGGTTCTGTGTGGAAAGTTTGGCCCAATTCTATCTTTGATTGGGTTCATAATACTCTTTGATTGTAAGTGAACTATAAACCCAGCAGTTACAACTCCCAAATGTCAAGTCTCATTTCCTCAAACTCCACCAGTGTTCACATTTGGGCATAATGAGGATCTGTGCCAAGTTTGGTCCAGATCCATCATTGTTTAAGTCCACAGTGCTCTCTAGATGTAGGTGAACTACAACTCGCAAACTCAAGGTTAATGCTCACCAAACCCTTCCAGTATTTTCTATTGGTCATGGTAGTTCTGTGTGCTAGGTTTGGTTGAATTCCATAGTTGGTGGAGTTAAGAATGCTTTTGATTGTAGGTGAACTATAAATCCCAGCAACTATAACTCCCAAATGACAAAATCAACCCCATCAGTATTCAAATTTGGGCATGTGCCAAATTTGGTCCATGAGGAGCTGGAGCTGACAGAGGGAGCTCATCCGCGCTCTCCTCAGATCCGAACCTGCGACCTGTGGGTCTTCAGTCCTGCCAGCACAGGGGTTTAACCCTCTGCGCCACCAGGGGTTCCTAAGGTATACAATAATAGTTATACTTATAGCCAATATTTGGATATTCTGACTTGTGGATGGCAAGCATTCATAGTAATATCCCTTCAGGCCTAAAACTGTGCCAGGATTCCTCTCTTATCCCTAAAGGACAGCCAGTGTAATGTAGTGGTTTGAGGGTTTGGTTGGATTCTGGGAGACCGGGTTTTGACTGTTGCTTATTCATGGAAACCCACTGTGTGTGCCAGTGAAGGCAATGGCAAGCCTCCTCTGAAAAAACTCTTGCTGAGGAAACCCCATAATAGGCATGCCCATCAGTCAGAAAAGATTTGAAGTGATATAATCACTACCACCACCAGACATAACAGTCCTTTCCAAGGCTGGGTCTTTCATACTTACTTACTTAGGCAGTCCCTCGTAGTCCGAGGATGATGGTCCTCCATGGTCGGTGTTCTGGCAGTGGGTCCATAGGTGACTGGAACCCAATTCTTGATCTGCATCTTCTCCTGCAGTGAGGGCATTAGTTTCCAGGTGGAAGGCGATCCTGGTCGAGGTTGGCTTGACGTGCCTTCCTCTTGGCACGCTTCTCTCTTTCGCCCTCCATTCGTGCCTCTTCAAACTCCACAGCACTGCTGGTCACAGCTGACCTCAAGCTGGAGTGGTCACAGGCCAGGGCTTCCCACTTCTCAGTGTCTATGCCAGAGTTTTTAAGGTTGGCTTTGAGCCCATCTTTAAATCTCTTTTCCTGTCCATCAACATTCCGTTTTCCGTTCTTGAGTTCGGAGTAGAGCAACTGCTTTGGGAGACAGAGGTCGGGCATCCGAACAACATGGCCGGTCCAGCGGAGTTGATGGCGGAGGACCATCGCTTCAGTGCTGGTGGTCTTTGCTTCTTCCAGCACCCTGACATTTGTCCGCTTGTTTGCACTTCCCTATATCCAAGATTAAGATCCCAGATTATTTGGCAGTGTAGACTCATATGATCCAGTTCAAAGCAGATAATCTGGAATACAGAGCAGTGTAGAAAGGGCCTGAGACATAAGGGGCCATGAAGGGGTGAGTGAGGTGGAACAGAGTTTTGAGTAGGGCTTCTCAAACTCTGCTTCTCCAGATGTTTTGGATTTCAGCTTCCAGAAATCCCAGCCAGTTTACCAACTGTTAGGAATTGTGGCAGCTGAAGTCCAGAACATCAGGAGGAACAGAGTTCAAGAAACACTGCTCTAGGGGTTGCCCAGCTTTAAGGGTCTGTTGATTAGTGCATTAATGTGGGAAATGTTTGTGGGCAGCCACAAAAACAAAATTTCTGGAGTATAACAATTACTTTCAAAGTAGATACCGCACAATTAAGCAGGAAGAAACTCTCCCCCCCCCCCCCAAATTTTGTTGCATAATGTACTTAAACTACAATATAAGTGCACAGGAAGCTGAAAGCTAAATAGGATTTTGCTTTGGTGTCATAGCAGTTGACAAGGTAGTGTGGTTCTATAGATCAGTTGCTGGGGAACATGAACATTGGCCATGGAGGGCGGTAGGAAAATGCTACTTTGATTATGTCTTGTTTATGGGTTTCTCACAACTGATTTATTACTATGTGAATCCTGAAGTAGTTATGCTTTTTGTCTAAACTTAGGCAGCAAATAGCATGTGAAATAGCAATTATTGTTTTTTTTATGTCCTATGCCTTCAACATAGTTCGGACCCTATGGTGACCCTAAGCAACTCTATCTCAGGGGGTCTTTTTGGGCAAGTTTAATTCAGAAGAGGTTTGCCATTTGTTTCCTCTTGAGCTGAGACAGGGTGTCTGTATTGAGTGGGTTTCATGGCTGAATTCTGATCTCCAGAGTTGTAGTCCAGTGGTTAAACCACTACACCAAGTAGACCCTTCTTGAGTATGAATAGAGCCCACTTCTTTCAACTGGGCAAATGAAAGCTAATTTCAGGTAATAGGTAATAGGTGTCACATATATATTTGTTTATTTATCTATTTATTTGGTTGTCAGTGGCAGTTTTGGGTCACTGCTACATTTCATTTCAGCCCCCCTGGTGGCGCAGTGGGCTAAACTGCTGAGTTGCAGGTTCAAATCTGGGAAGTAGGGTGAGCTCCTGCTGTTAGGCCCAGCTTCTGCCAATCTAGCAGTTCAAAAACATTCAAGTGTAAGTAGATCAACAGCACTCAATGCAGTCATGCTGGCCACATGACCTAGGAGGTGACACCCTCCAGAATCAGACATGACTAGACTTAATGTCAAGGGGAAACCTTTACCTTTACCTTACATTTCCTTTTGAAGTCAATTGTACAGGTCATTTAAATCAATGCAACATCCAAGAGAATATTGTTAGGAATGGGGCTTGGGTTTAGGCATAACAGAACTGTTGTTTGGTCCATGGACACACCTGTTCCTGCCAAGTGCCAACATTTGAAAGTGCAATATTTCATTCCCTTCCCCCTGACTTTAACTTTGAAATCCTCACAGCTTGACTTGCCTCCTAGATGGAAGTAAAGCCAAGAAAATTAGAGTACCCGTGTTCATATATGCATTCATGTAAGCCACAGTTTTAATCTTGTGCTAAAGAGCAAAACCATCAGAATAGTTCACAAGGCCATATCCATGCCATTCATAATCATTATTACATTTATTTTTGTTTTCTTTTCATTCTCCTCTTTTCATCTGGCAACTCAGGTTTGGCAAGCCTAATTTTGATAGGCTTTGGGAGTAATATGACACATGGACTTTTCTTCTCTTGTACCAAGCACATTTGGAAAGCTTACATTAAGCCCCAAGAATATGGGGAACTGTGAACATGCCCATGGCAGGTGCCTCTGTCCAGTTTTAGGCAGCCCTTGCAACCGCTATTCAGCAGGGTCTGTAGCAGTCTGGAGGAAATGTCAGGAAGAGATGAATGTCAGGAAATGTCTTTCTGCAGTCTGGAGGAAATGTCAGGAAGAGATGAAGGGAAAGTCCACTTCCAGTAGCCCAGGTACACACACTTAGATCTGTATCCAAGCCATAGGTTAGAAAAGCCCTGTAGAAGTATCTCTGTTCAGAGCAAGGCAAAGTTGGGGATTGAAGCAGGAC